CCCGAACCTCCTCTGGTGTAACTTGAGGCCATTTCCTCTTGTCCTGTCACCTGTGACTTGAGAGAAGAGACCGACCACCACCTCTCTACAACCTCCTTTCAGGGAGTTGGAGAGAGCAATAAGGTCTCCCCTCAGCCTCCTCTTCTTCAGGCTGAACACCCCCAGCTCCCTCAGCCGCTCCTCATAAGACTTGTGCTCCAGACCCCTCACCAGCTTTGTTGCCCTTCTCTGGACCCGCTCCAGCACCTCGATGTCTTTTTTTTATGGTAGGGAGCCCAAAACTGGACACAGCCCTCGAGGTGGGTCCTCACCAGTGCCGAGTACAGGGGGACAATCACCTCTCGGGCCCTACTCGCCATGCTGTTCCTGACACAGGCCAGGATACTGTTGTCCTTCTTGGCCACCTGGGCACACTGCTGGCTCATGTTCAGCCGACAGTTGACCAACACCCCCAGGTCCTTTTCTGCCAGGCAGCTCCAGCCACTCTGCCCCCAGCCTGTAGCGCTGCCTGGGGTTGTTGTGACCCAAGGGCCGGACCCAGCACTTGGCCTTGTTGAACCTTATCCCGTTTGTCTCGGCCCATCGATCCAGCCTGTCCAGATCTCTCTGCAGAGCCTCTCTACCCTCCAGCAGATCAACACTGCCACCCAGCTTGGTGTCATCTGTGAACTGACTGAGGGTGCACTCAATCCCCTCATCCAGTTCATTGATAAAGATGTTAAAGAGAATTGGAGAATTGGCCCCAGTACCAAGCCCTGTGGGACACCACTCGTGACTGGACGCCAGCTGGATTTAACTCCATTCACCACCACTCTCTGGGCCCGGCTTCCAGCCAGTTTTTAACCCAGCGGAGGGTATTCCCATCCAAGCCATGGGCAGCCAGTTTCTCCAGGAGGATACTGTGGAAGATTGAAGCCCCCACAATCCAAAGGGAGGTGGTGGGGAACCTGCTTCAACACCTGAATATAGACAAGTCTATGGGGCCAGATGGGATCCACCTGAGGGCACTGGGGGAGCTGGTGGAAGTGCTCAATGAGCTACTTTCCATCATTTACCAGCAGTCCTGGCAAACTGGGGAGATCCCAGCTGACTAGCGTCAAGCAAAGTGATGCCCATCCACAAGAAGGGTCAGAAGGATGATCTGGGGAACTCCAGGCCTGTCAGTCTGACCTCGGTGCCTGGGAAGGCCATGGAACAGATCATCCTGAGTGCCATTATGCAGCGCATGAAGGACACCCAGGTGATCAGGCCCAGCCAGCATGGGTTCATAAAAGGCAGGTCCTGCTTGACAAACCTGATCTCCTTCTGTGACAAAGTGACCCACTTGATGGATGAAGGAAAAGCTGTGGATGTTGTTTACCTGGACTTTAGCAAGGCCTTTCGTACAGTCTCCCACAGTATCATCCTGGAGAAACCAGCTGCCCATGGCTTGGATGGGAGTACTCTCCACTGGGTTAAAAACTGGCTGGAGGCTGAGCCCAGAGAGTGGTGGGGAATGGAGTTAAATCCAGTGGGCGGTTGGTCATGAATGGTGTCCCCCAGGGCTCGGTATTGGGGCTGTTTCTCTTTTAACATCTTTATCAATGATCTGGATGAGGGGATCAAGTGCACCCTCAGTAAGTTTGCAGACAACACCAAGTTGGGTGGGAGTGTCGATCTCCTGGAGGATAGAAAGGCTTTGCAGAGGGATCTGGACAGGCTGGATCGATGGGCTGAGGCCAGTGGGATCAACAACGTTCAACAAGGCCAAGTGCCGGGTCCTGCACTTGGGACACGCCAACCCCATGCAGTGCTACAGGCTTGGGGAAGGGTGGCTGGAGCTGCCCAGCAGAAAAGGACCTGGGGGTGTAGGTCAACTGTCGGCTGAACATGAGCCAGGAGTGCCCAAGTAGCCAAGGTGATCGTCCCCCCTCTACTCAGCACTGGTGAGGCCCCATCTTGAGGACTGTGTCCAGTTTTGGACCCCTCACCACAAAACAGACATTGAGGGGCTGGAGCGGGTCCAGAGGAGGACAACGGAGCTGGTGAGGGGTCTGGAGCACAAGTCTTGTGAGGAGAGGCTGAGGGAGCTGGGGGTGTTCAGCCTGGAGAAGAGGAGGCTGAGGGGAGACCTTCTTGCTCTCTCCAACTCCCTGAAAGGAGGGTGTAGCCAGGGGGGGTCGGTCTCTTCTCCCAAGGAACAGGCCATGGGACAAGAGGAAACGGCCTCAAGTTGCACCAGGGGAGGTTCAGATTGGAGATTAGGAAAAATGTTTCCACAGAAAGGGTTATGAAGCCTTGGAATGGGCTGCCCAGGGAAGGGGTTGAGGCACCATCCCTGGAGGGATTTAAAAGCAGGGTTGATGTGATGCTTAGAGACATGGTTTAGTGATTTATTTATTTTTTATCAGAGTTAGGTTGGTGGTTGGACTAAATGATCTTAAAGGTTCCCTTCCAACCTAGATAATTCTATGATCCTACATCAGTACCTCTCACCCAATTTTTCATGATTGTAGCAGTTTTGATCTGTGTCTGTGTGTGTACTCTCCTCTGGGCTTGCTTGTATCTGACAAGTATTATGTTCAGACTTTCTTTCCTGCCAAAAAAGCAGGAAATGAGAGGACAAGTCTTTGAGACTTGCTTCATTCACTTGTGTCCTGGAGCAAATCAGAGGCTGTGGCACAACATTTTAACCAAGGTTTCTCATGCTAGCTGCTGATTTTGTTTCTCTAATGTTTTTTATAAAGCTGCTTTTTCGTTCTACACGTGATAGTTGTGTCTTGTTGGAACTCTAAGCAAGTTCTAGATTTTTTTTCTGTTTACATTTCTGTTGAAGCAGTATTATATCATTTTTGTCCACTTGCATGCCCCACAGAATTGTTTGGTAGGTCAGGCTGAACTCAGGGGTATTTGAAATAGCAGTTTGTATTTTTTTTAATAATGCACTAATACTTGGTCGTGGAGGAAGTTTCCATTAAAGATTAGTTGAATCAAAGCTGAGTATCTAAAGCTATCTTCATCAAATCAAAAGTTTCTACGTTTTATTTGTACTTAAGACAGAGTTTAATTTGCTTAATACTTTGTATTATTTATGACTTCATACTCAAGTTGGCCTTTGTTCTCTGTGTAACATAGAAGTTCTAGTGCCTTGTTTTTCTTGGTGCTCTTGGGATTCTGTGCTTGGTTATAAGCTTTAAAAAAGAGCATGATAGTGAGTCTCTTGTTCAGCCATCTTTCAGATTCATGCACTTTTAGTTTTGTTTGTGTTAAGCAGTTAACCGAGAAAATAATCACACCAAAAAAGTATTTAGTCTAGATAATCATGTGCTTGTTTTACAGGTACACCTGGTATTAAAGTTCTTATGCCTGCGCTTTCTCCTACAATGGAAGAAGGAAACATCGTGAAGTGGTTAAAAAAGGAAGGTAAGACAGCAGTTTTTTATGGCCACGTTTGTTGTAATTCTTGACCTATATAAATCTATTCTGTAAGAATAAGATAACTCTTTCTGTATTAGTATTTTGAAGCAAAATGTTTGGTATATGGATGCTGTCATCTTGAATGATACTTGCTTTGAAATTGTTGGTTCTTAAAACATTTTTCCTTTAGTTGTCTTCCAAAAAGTTGCATTGATCCTGTTTTTGAAGAATTTCCACTAGAATGTTCCAGGGTGTAAGTATGTGTGTTGTCATGCTGATCAGTAATGTTGGAAATCTGAGAGCTTTGACTTTAGGGAGAGGCTTTCATTATTCCGCTGTGTTATGAAATGCCATGAAAGAGGTGGTGTTTTTATAGTTGCTATTCAGGGCTTACTTTTTTAGTATCTACATTATAGTATATATTTAAAGCCAATAGAAAAATTTAAATTGCTTTCATAACCCAAATTCTGAATGGGAAAATCTCTTTCACAAAAAAACCAACAACAACAAAACCCAAAAAACCTAAAACAAACAAAAAAACTAACAACACCATAATAGCCTTGGTCATCTTAGGTTCTCTGTGCTCTGACAACTGAAAAGTAATGTAGTTCTTTTAAAGTATGTTGGAGCAGCTAGTTAAATAGTCTGAGTGTATGTTTTGTCTTCATGTAGGTTGTATGTAAATGAAAAATGATCTGTAGAAGAACCAGCAGTACCCGTTGTGTGAGGAGATGTTTTTCCCCTCTTCTACTCTCTCCAATTTAATATTAAAACTGGATTTTGACTGTAGTTTTGGATTCTAGGTAGCAGTTGTCCATTGGTATAGGATGCGTTGGATGGCTTTAGATGACTGTAAGGAGTATATCTTGTTCTCAGACATTTTCTAAAGAGATGAACTCGTTTGGAGAAAAGAAAAATCTCTTAAAGCATACTGTCTGACAGACACAATTTGGTGAGCTAAATGTCTGGTTTGCCTGCTCTGCCCAAATAAGCCATTTCCTTTGGTTTACTTTCTAAGTGTTGATATAGCCTCCATCATGGTGTTACTGGAGTTCTTTGCTTTTATACATTTTGAGAGGTGGCTGGAAGGCAATTTTTTGCTTCAGTAGTGGAGATGACCTTCTGCTTGCAACACTTCTAGTAAGAATTTCTGCAGAATTTGTTAGGAACAATATGGCAGTCTATGTCTGTAAAAAGTAATTGCACCAATGCTCTCAAAACTTGAAGCTTTAAGTAGTCAAGTATCAAGTCCAAGATTATGTAGAGAAAAAGGAAAGATCCAAAGTCTTTGTTCTATGCAGTAGTTGTCAATAATTGTAAGACAGTAAAAATCAACAGTAGTCTGTTTCACAATAAATATAGCATTCAAAATTGCAAGAGAAAGAAAAGAAGAGAGCACAATAGGATTTAAAGTAGATTCCAGTTTGCTCCACAACATGAATGAATCTGTTTTCTTCACAAAAAGGTCTTAGGACACAACAGCTCTACAGTGGTTTTTCTCAGTCTTTCCAATATACTTCCACCCCAACAAAAAAGGAAGAAAAAGCTCCACACCTGTTTTAATTAAACTAAAACAAAGTCTTAATTGATGGTTGGCCTCTGAGAGAAAACTATTTCAGGATTCTTATTGCTCTACTTCATATTTAGAGACAAGACCAAGACTGAATATAGTATATTGTATTATTTGGCACATCTGTGACCATAATTAGTTCCTGTGGATATTTTTTCCCTCTGACACTTCTGGAAAATAAACATGACAACATTAAAAAAGTGAAGATAAATTTTGAAGAAAAAAAAGTGAAGTGATTTATTGTTTATATTCCTGTCTGCAAGGGATGCTCATAACTAATATATAACTCAAAACTGCGTAATTCCCCAGAGAGCTGGCCATCTAAATGTAGTGGCATTACTGAATATAAATGTTTGATAATCCCATATCCAAGAAAATAAATATTTTGAAGTAATTGATAGTAGAAAGCTGATTACTGCATATGAAATGGTTTTCCCATTGTACAACCAGCAGGGGTCAGTAGAATACTATCTTGACAGGTTTTCTGCTCTTTGTGTAAATATCAAATGGTTTCATTTTTTGGTTTCACAGGATGGACAGATGATTTCAGTAGCGCAGAAGGAAAAATGCTGAATTTAATTGACAGCCTTACTATTTCTTGCTCATAGTTAATGCAGTTTCATGTTGATTCCTGTGGGTAATAAAGGTTTTGTCATAAAAATGAAAGTGTGTTTCTAAAAACGTATATTTACTATGTATGAACTTAATGTTGATGAAAGATGATAGACTGACAGCCCAGGAGACTGAATTCCTCTTGTTATTGTGGGCAGAAAACAGAATAGTCAACAGTACTAGCAGTTTCTTCATGTGGTGTAACTGCTGACTTCTGAGACATCACCTCCAGGGACTCTGTCAACTTCGATTTGGCTTGCAAAGTGTACATCAATGAGTGTAGTCTGTATCTTGTGAGTTGGATACTTGTCTGTTGGTAACAGAGACCCCCAGAGTGAAACTTGGCTTTGGTAGACATAGCAAGGTGGGGGTGGGTCTCTTCCCCCATGTAACAAGTGATAGGACAAGAGGAAGTGGCCTCAAGTAGTGCCAGGGGAGGTTCAGATTAGATACTAGGAAATATTTCTTCACTGAAAGGGTTGTCAAACATTGCAACAGGCTGCCCAGGGAAGTGGTGGAATCACAGTCCCTGGAGGTATTTAAACGGTGGGTAGATGTGGTACTGAGGACATAGTTTAGTTAGAGGGGGGAATTGGCAGTGTTAGGTTGATGGTTGGACTCAATCATTTGAAAGATCCCTTCCAACCTAGATGATTGTATGATTCAGCCTAGCTATAAGGACCTAATTGTTGAAAAAACCCAACCAACCAAACCAACCCCATCCAGGATTTTGCAAGGGCATTAATATGTAATCTCAGAGAGCTGCCATTCAGACAGCTTCTGTTGCAAATACCACTCTCATTAGAAAGCGTAAGAGCAAAGATATGTTCTGCAAAAGTGTTCTTTCCAATCTTGCCTCTTGGGAAAGCTGATTGGTAATTGACATCAAAGTGAGCACTGATTAGGAGATATCACAAATTTTGCAATCTAATGAAAATAACTATGATCCTTTCTATTGTACTTGGTACTGAAACACACAGATTTTTGAATGCTGCGGTGAAATGTTCTTCTTAAAATTGCTTTTAATCAATTGCCTCTAAAATTAAGACTACTTCTTGGCTGCAGAAGTGAAAGGAAAACAAAAAAGAAGTAGTGGAGAAGTGGTTTGCCCAGTTCTCTGAAGACTTTTCCTCTTGCCTTCCCTGTGCAAGGGAATCCTTGGCTTGCTGTGAACAGCCTCCCCTACCCGAGAGATGTCATGTGAGACAAACGCATGGATGAAGGTGTTTGCTTTGGCAGACTTGGGCTGTTGGAACTACTGCTGCAGGTTGCTTAGCACTGACGTTTCTTTTTAACAATGCAGAATCCTTACTGCCTGATTGGAGGTTGGGAGAAGAGAATAATTAAGATATAGAGAATAATTAAAATACAGAGAATAATTAAGATACAGAGTTTCTGCTTGCTTATCTACACGTTACAGAATCTGCCCAACAACTTGATTTATTTACATCTGTGAAGTACATACCTAATGATGTGATGTAGGGGCTACTTGAATTAATGATCCAATGGAATCAGTGTACCTACTGGTATACTGCCTGGAATTTTGACTTCCTGTATTAAACTGTTTACGCTCTAGTTATTACAAAGTGCAGTGCGGCAATTAGATTATTAAATTAAGAAGATCAGGTGCTACTTTGTGTACTTCCCTGCCAAGGTTGGTTATAGGAACATTGATGACTTATAAAATAAGTGACTGAGCTGTGAACGTTTCCATTGTTTACTATTGAAGAGATCACAAGGAACATACACTACTTGTTTTTCGCCTTCTAATTCAGGTAGTCCTGAAACAGGAAGGAATTATTTAACAAAAAAAAAAAAAAGTGAAAGGAAAGCATTTATCTCTTACCTAAATACAGGTGGTAACCTGCACTAGGTTTATTCTGATGCTGAAGTACAACAGAGAGTAGTATCAGGAATTTAATACTTAGATAATGCTGTTGCAGTATTTCTGGTACTGGGAAAATATTAAAATTTTACCTTATATAAAAATTGTAGTCATGTGTTAGGCTTGCATGTAATGTCCTTATTTTTTAGTGCCCTGTAAGGATAAGGGTGTCGTATTTTGTTGCAGGCTAAAACATTCAACTACCTCAAAGTTTATCAATGTAACTTCAATTTTAGTGTTGACCATCTAGTCAGTATTGATCTGCTGAAAGAATCCAGACCCATAATATCTTTATCAGGTGCTAGCAGATAAAGATATTCTTCAAAAGCTGAGCAAGAGTATGCTTCAAAATTAATCACGGATTTGTGTAATGCAGTGAAAACAATTTCTAACACTGCATATTTTCATTTCACAAAGCAAGTATTTTTCCAAAAGCTTGCAGACATGCTTTCCAAGGAGATTAAAGTTCCTGATGTTTTTATTTGAATATCTTTAATTGTGTAGATACAAAATAGAGAATGTTGCCTGTGACCATTGCTACAAAAAAATTAGTTTTAAATAGCTTGCTTTGACTTACACCTAGCAATGAATATGGAAGGCTCAAGATTTTATTAGTAGCAGTGTTACTGAGCGGTTGTGTTCTGGAAATAAATTTCATTGTGGGTGTATTTCCTCTTAGAAAACTAACTGTAAATATCAGTATTTGGAATACGTTAATGTTCTGCTTGCAGCAGTTTGTGTCTCTGAATCTTAGCATTTTATTTGGAAACGAAAGATGCACTATGATAAGTAATGATGGGGGATCAACTTAAAATGGCTGTATTGTATGGATAAAGATCTCTTATCGTTAAATAGATCTGAAAGGAAGTTTAGGGTAAGTGTTCTTAAGTTTTGTTATATTTTGCAGGTGAAACAGTGAATGCTGGAGATGCGTTGTGTGAGATTGAAACAGACAAAGCGGTGATTACCATGGAATCAAGTGATGATGGTGTATTGGCTAAAATACTGGTAGGGATTCTGCCTTTCTGAGTAGGATGATGTAACTTCACATGAGACTCTTTTAGCGTATTGCCTCAAAAACTAGCTAGATTTCCTCCTGCTCAGCTTTCAAAATAATGCACTTACTTGCATTTCTAGTAAGAAATATTTTCTGTATTAGAAATATTTCTGTACCAGACTACTTGTACGTGGTACATGATTCTATATGTGTTTAATGAATTTTCAGTTAACCTGATTGAATTATGTTGTTGTTTTGTATGTTTTGCACCTTATGAATTATGTCCACTAAATATTGCAGTTTGACATGTCTTACTCTGAGTTAAAGAAAAAGTTACAATCAGGTAGTTGCAATACGGAGTTTTGGATGGTACTTTACCCAGGATGTGTGATATCTGTGCTAGATTATTTTATGTTGGCCATTGAGGATGGAACATTATACAAGATGGGCTGACCCAGAGAATAATTCTTAGAATTTTTAATTTCCTGTATTCTTAAAATTAGATTGATTAGGCTTTATATAAAGAACAAGAACTGGGATGAATGTGAAGTTCTCTGCACATAATTTTGGAGCATTTGTGTGTATGTGCATATAGGAGAGGTAATGCTCAGTTTGTTTAGGTTCTTTGTTTATGTTTGGCTTTAAGTCCTGTTCTATACCAAGATGGAAGCAATAACTACTGGACTACAGAGATCTGGATGAAGGATGTAGTTCTAACCCTGCACTGCTTAAGGTCTGCTCCCCAGTTCCATGTTACTCTATACATACTGTATTCTAAAAAGACAAGTCAAATTCTGTATTCTCCTTTTCCTCTTCTTTAACGTTTTTGAAAAATGTTTCTTATTTCAAAATGACCTCATGGTAATTCTCATCAGAATTTAGAAGGGTGGGGCTGTAATTCTGAGGCCTTCTGTTGCTGCTTCTGTGTAAAAATAAATACTACGTTTTCTGAAAGCTCATATTTGATGCTTAAAAATAAAGAGACGCTATTTTTCCTGTCTATTAAATACGTATAATGGGAAATATATTTTAGAGTTTCTTATCTACAGAGAAGGTGAAGAAAATTATTAATTGTGTATAAAGACAATATTCAATATTCACTACGGTTTCTGAAGTTTTCCCCAAACAACACCCAAATCTGTAGAGTTCTGTTATTTATCCTGTGAAGGCTTAAACTGTCAGCTCGGCTCTAGCACTTCTGACACAAAGACTGATATCTTTTCTTTTTTCCTTTTAGAAATTGGGTAGATAACCATGGAAAATCTTAAATATGATTTTGCAGTGAATTTGCAGTTTTATTAAGATAAAACAACTTAAATGCAATTGTAGAAAAACTAGTTGGTCAGTCAGCAGCTAAATGGGGATACAGGGTTCTACAGCATAATATTTCTCAGGTTTAATGCATATACTGATATCTAAAGAGCTTCTTACCACCCTTAAAACATCCTACGTAGGAGTTAGTGTCTCCAAGAAAAGTTATAAAATGCTTTGTAATGTTCAAACCGTAGCATACTGAAGAAACCTACTTGAATCACTGTGCAGCTTCTTCGCTTTTTTTAGTGGTAGACATGTTAAAATGACTATTAGTACTGTTGTTTTATCTTAACTCTTAAGAATGTGTGACAGACACTTTCACTGTCTTGGTATGCACTATATCAGGTTTAGTTGTTCCAGAGTTATTAATGTAGCTTGTATTCTTTCTGTTAAAGGATCCTTTGTGTCTTGAAGCATTGGTGTCCAGCACTGTAGCGTTTGCCTTTTTCTGGCTGCTTAACCTCGCATACCACCTGGCTTCTTGGCCAAACAATTGCATCTGCAAAGTGCTCTTGAACATGGTGTGAAATGAGGAGCATGCAGCAAGCATGGCTGTTTGCCTTTCCTTGGTGCAGCCCAGCGTGATTTGGTGCAGAGGGGATGGCCAGCTATGCAGCTGTGTGGTGAGACCCTCTTACCAGGTTCCTCTTCCAGTCAATGTAGAGGGCTTTTGTCTATTTGGGCTTTGTATTTAATTAGTGTTGTAGCTTAAACTGCAAGTTTTCATAATTAAGCGTGTACATCAGAGTTTCAACTCCTGCATTCAAAATACAAAGCATGTGCTATTAATGTGAAAAGTCTGGTTTTAAATGACTTGCCCTGTATTGTGAGGGAACAGAAAGGACTAAATTTCAGTTCTGGAGGACAGGACTCAGTTGTCTTTGATGATACTTCCCTTTCAATTCTTTGTCTCATTCCTTATATATCTCTTATATCATAAGAAAAACCCCAACCATAAACGAAAGGCCACAAAAAATGATGAAGCAGAAATTTCCTAAAGATGAAACTCCATAGAAAATGGAAGAAATACAAGGACACGTTATTCAAGCCCAATGATAAATATATAGAAATTGTGCTGATTGAATGTTTGACTTTCCAGCAATATAATATTGGGGTTTTTGCTGTTCTTATATGTGGAAATCATTAATAAAGCTGTAATATATTTTTTGTTGCAAACCACATTTTCCAAATTTTCATGGTGCTTATAGGCTAGTCTATGCCTGATTTGACAGAAAAGACCACATGTAAATTATAGTCTGTGTTCCTTACTCTCACAAGACTCCATCCTTGTGGTTTGCTTGGAAGGACTAAAATTTTGTTTCTCCACTTCTTACGCTATTCTCTCCCAAACTCCTCACTATTTTGATTTTTCAGAGTAGTCTCATTTCCATGCTGGTGGAGTATTGCAGCTGTTTCTTCCCTCCCTCCACAATAATTAAGCAATAGAGTGAATTGCAATTTTGAATAAAATAAATAAAAAATTATGATAAATTGTTTTGCCGTGTGTGTAGTAGATTACTTGTCAACGTGTTTAGTCAAAATTATGTCAGAATGTTTAGTCATCTGTCAAAATGTTTGTCCAGATTGGTATGTTGAGAGGGAAGGCAGTAGAGAAAATGTCAAGATTGAGACATGGAATTTAACAAGATGAGTGGAGTGAACTTGAAAGGGAAAATTCTTGGCTAAACAGAGGTGGTGGTTTAGAGTGAAGATACTGCAGTTATAGAATTCTGCACTAGGAGAATAGATCCAAGACCCCAGTAAAAAGCTGTATTGAATGAAACAGAATTAAAAAAAAAAAAAACAACAAAACCGCTCTTGCATCAATAGTAAGACCCACCTGAGAGACTGAGCCTTTAATTTGGAACTTCAGTTGACAAAAGTAAGTTCTATGGAGCTATAAATAAAGTTGAATATAGGTTTTCATTAAGATGAAGCAGGGAGATACTTCCTTGTTGACTTCACTGTCCCACTGTTTCTTCATTCTTCGGTATCCCAGGGCAAAGTCTCACATCAGACATATTTTTAGATGTGTTTTTAGTCTCAATAGAATTATTTTAATAATTACTGGGTGAGAAATGCTTTCACTATTTTTATCTCTCTCCAATTTAGAATGTTTCTGAAAATTCTTTTGCATCTAATTTTGTCTGGAGTTTGCATCTAAGTTAGGTCTGATTTTGTCCAGACAAAAACTTTTGCAACTCTTCACTTTTTTCAATATGAAGTATCTGTTCTGCATGTACAGATATTGCTTTGTTAGATTATGTGAAGAGGAGATATGGGGATTGTCTCTCCCAAAAGTATTAAAGTGTGATTCCCAGAGACATTAAGAGAAGAATAGTAGACTCCAATATTAATTAATATTTCAGAAGCTGTGTTTTTCCTGTTTCCTGTCTTGTATTCTGAATGAATTCCAAATTCGAAAATTTGTGTGTATTACTGTTGTGGCATGTTTTTTGATAGATCAAAAGTAGACTTTCCAGCAACTACGTGATATTGCTGTCATGGAGCAGTGACACAGCCTTAGCCAAGATAGCCATATCATTCAGTAACAATCACACACCAAGAGTTGAGCATGAGAAGGAGTTGCTAGGAGATGGAAAATAACTACAGTTTCTTTCAGATTAAGAGGCAGCTGTTTTGGAGTGACATGAACAGGTTATTATGCAAATCCAGTCTTTAATGGATTCTTTTAATTCCCCCTTTTTGTAATCTGGAATGGTGGGCTTAAGTATTTGGGTACAGAACAGATACACAAACAGGCTCTTATTCCAGTCTCCTAAAAAGTTTGGAAGAAACCTGATGTTTTGGAAACTAATAGGGAAGTAATAAGATCAGAAATTTTCCGACTCTTTTTTTCCTGGCTTAAGTATGATCCTTAGTAGTTTTTCTGCAGTATCCTGTGGCTGTTTCTGCACTATCCTGGGTGTTCAGTAGATGTTTGTGTCAGGTTTGTAACATAAAGCTGTCTCGGTTTTGTGAATCGGGAGATTATTTCTTATTGAAAAGACTGTCCAAAAGATTGTCCAAAAGGCCACTCAAAATTTCAGATGTGATGTAGTTGATGGGAAATTAAGAATGGTTGATGCACTTGAGTTACTGGCATCTGGCTGAAGGTTATTCACTTCCTGAAAGAAGTGAGGCAACAGTTCTGCCAACTACAGTTCTGCTCCATCTTGACTGAGTTCAGTATGGAAAACTGAGTCAAATAAACACACTATCTGCTTAATACTGTTTTTTACCTTTAAAGATAGAAGGTTCATTGAATTCAACTTCTGTCACCCTTCTTGGTTTTTTCTTGACTGTATGATGTAAGTATGAATGGTTTAAGAAAACAGGCTAACAGTAAAACCGATATGCATGTATTCCTTTTCTGCCTGAATAGGTCTTTTAGTGATAGCATCTGATTCAGTGTAAAACATAGTAAAAGATTAAATGAGTGAATGAATGTATTAGAAGGGTTATTTCAGAATAGTGATTATTCTTTCAGCGGAGTTGCTTCTTAAATTAACACTGACTTTTTTGCCCTAAAATACTTATTAGTTCAATTTGGACCAAAACCAGGTGATGATTGATTGTTTAAGAACAGGATTGGGTTAGTTTTCACAAGGAGCTGGATGGGGCACAGCTGGGACTGTGTGTTGCACAGGGACTTCCCAGGTCAGGCGGGTGAGCATACTGTTCCCTATATTCCTCTTTCAGTATTGTTGCTGTTGTTCTCCTCTTCCTTTTGCTGTTCTGATAAACTGCCTTTATCTCAGCCCACGAGCTTTGCCTTTTTATTCCTTTCTCCCCCTACCCTGTGGCTGGAGGGAGTGAGCGAAAAGACCGTGCGGTTCTTTTTGATGTCGGTGTTAAACCATGGAAGTATGCGTCGAACATACGCGTATTATGCTGATAAACAATTTTCTAAGTACCTTGTTCAATGCTAAGTATGATATTGCTGTAAAATTATTAGAGCAAATAACTTCAGTATTTTGTACGTTTATAGGTTTGCTTTCTTTTGTTTTTCCCAGTTTCTGTGTTTCATGGACTAGGTTGGGTAGATTGTGTTTGTGCTGGCTTCAAGCTGCTGTTTTATTTAATTATGAGTAACATTGCAGTTACACATACTTTTATGAATCTGTTTATCAATGGGCCTCAGTAGGATCTTTCAGCCTTAAACAAATCAGTTCAGGACACTTGGATGGCATTACGTCATCCCCATGTACTTTAAAGTCATCTCAATATAAATAAAATATGGTCAAGTCTTGATGGACTCTTCAGACTCCTTCCTACAGTTAAGCTTTTCAGAATATTAATGGAGAAGAATGCATCAAGGGATCAGAACAAGAAATACTGAACTGAGTCTGAAATATTTTTTTCATGTAATTAAATACTCTTAAAGAAGTAGTATTACACTAGAATTTACCTAACGTTCATGTGGGGGGAAAAAAAATAAACTGGCAAAACTGTAAATGAGATATTTTATTAGAACGTACTGAGAACAAATTGCCTTTGCTGTTCCTTCTTACACCTAGTGTTGGTCCTTCTAGTGTCAGAGGTGGGTACTAATCCTGTGAAATCTGGTACATTCTGTCATTGTATTAAGTGTGGAGATAGCCATCTGAGCCACGTAATAATGCTCTAGAATTTACATCTGCCTAGCACAGCCTTTACAGCATTCTGTTTTATTTATTCATGTTTAAGTGCCTAGAAAACCCAATTAAGATAATAAGAAGAGTATGATACCTGATACTATGTATAATTTCCTTTTGTGTGTCTGTCTTTGGGCTTTTCAAATTACAATGATTTGTATTTTTTTGGGTAGAACGTCAGCATTGCCCGTGTATACAAGTTCTACTTGGGGCAAATATATGTGCAGTATGGCTGTATGGTGGAAATGTAATGTCCATTCCCTTTGTTAGGAGATCGACTCTGTTGCAGTTGATACAGTCCAAGTTGTGTTTGGCTGCCTATGGGCAATCTTTACATTTGGCCTGATGCTCTGGAAATGTTATTGCTTTTGAGAACCTGAAGATTTGTACTTCTACAACCATTTTGGAGACTGTAGGCGGAGCCTTGATTAGGTTGTTACATTAATGTGACTGCCAAAGCATCAAAGAGATATTTTTGACTGTGTTATAGATATCTTTTTGTTTTAAAAGGGGCATCTAGAATAGTTTGTCTTTATCCAATCAGATTAGATTAGATTAGATTAGGTTTATCTTTCTGTTAGGTGTCTTTTCAGATGTTCTTTGAAACAGTGATTTACATACCACATAAGTACTATTACTCTCTTTGTGCACAGATGAGATATTTGGCACCAGTTATGTTAAAATACACAAACTTAGAGATGGAAGTTAGTGGAAAGTGAATGTTTTTCAAAAAGAAGTATTGAGGCACTGCTGTAGTTCTGGGATTTGTTGTCTTTAGACTCAATAGTCTGTAGCTTGTTTACTTTGATTTCCAAATGCTAACTTTAGATGTTAGATGCTTAGATTTTTGGGAATAAGTTAATACTCTTCTGCTTATAATAGCAACTGTAATTCATTTCAGTCATTGAGTCATCTTATTAATAGTAGGAATAAAATGGGATCTATTTTCTTGATAAAGTATCATTAATCTGCCTGAAATTTTCACAGCATGATATGTAACAGTGTTTTCATTGCCTTAAGTTTAGGTGGAAGAAGGAAGCAAAAATATACGCTTGGGCTCACTGATCTGTCTGCTGGTAGAAGAAGGGCAGGACTGGAAGCAAGTTGAAATACCAGCTGATGGTAGTGATCCATCTTCTGTGGCTCCACCAGCAGCTGCGCTTACCTCAAAACCTGCAGGTCCTTCAGTTGCAGCCCCTCCTAAACTGGAACGTGAACCTGGAAAATTGCAGTGAGTTTCTACGTTTGCTGTGAAATGGAACTCTTAGTTAAAACAGTAGAGCTGAACCACGAAGAATCTTCTGTTGCTTTTTATGCAGTACTAAGCTGTTAGCTCAAGAGAGTGTTTTGGTATCTGTGAGGTGGTGAAGCTTGCCAGAATATTTTGTTTGTAAGTCCAATAAGTCCATTTGAAGAACATAGTTTTATAAGAACATCTTACAAGGTTTATGTGCTTTTATTCTGACATAAAATTGCTTCATAAAGAATTCTAAGCTTCTAAGAAAGAAGTTGTGTTTATATACGACGGACACCAACACTTATGCATCAGGTGCTCAGTTTACCTATAACTTCTTTTGTATTTCTTTTTTAGGATGAAAAAATTCACATTCCAAAGCCCTTCCAAGTTCTTGCACTTTTGATATTAGAATAAATGTCGTATTTTCATAACAATTGAATGTGAAAAACTTAAAAGTGACAGTTCAGGTGCTTGTTGTTTAGTTTTGTTTTGATCTGTTAAGGTACCCTAAGCATTGCAGACATCTTAAAGGAAGAATAAATTAACCTCAAATTATTAGTCAGGTAACAGTAATCTATAAATCGCTGGTTTTGTGTCACAGGTTGTACCATATTTGGAGGTACTGCTCCTTATTTGGAGTGAATTGTGATAACACAAAAGCTGTAAAATTGCAGCCTATTAAGGAAAAGAATAAAAAGCTAATTTTGGTAGTGCTACACAAACTGCTTGGGTTTTGTTGTTTTGAGGGTTTTTTTGGTTTTCTAGTTTGGGTTTTGGGTTTTTGTGATTTTTAATTTTTTTTTTAAAACCTCATTACCTTTTCTGTCTGGTTTGTTGTGTTTACTTTTGCTGCCACCATTTAGGCTTTTCTCATGCAAATGAGAGACAACTAATTGAGGTCATTGCCCAAGCTTCCAGGAAAGAATCAAAGGATTAAGTCTTGCATGTTAGTACCAAAGGTCATAAAGTGCATCTCGCTTACTGCAACTCCTAATTAAACGTGTATCAGCATCTTTGGAATCAAATGATCATTAATTATGACATGGGGTTTTTTGGCAAAGGCTTATGGACAGTTCTTATTGGAGATTTTGTGGAAAGACTTGAAACCAAGTATTTATTCTTTTATGAAAATGTTGCTGCTTTTATGTCTAAGAATTCTGAAATTTCTCCTCTACATGTTGGTTTTTCTTCCTTTTTCCAGAAAGCAAATCATGCGAAGGTGCACTGGGTGCTCTGTAGCTATAGACTGTGCTTTTTAATTAATCACCGTTTCTGTTTCCAGGCAGAAACGTTTCTATTGAGCATACTCCATCTAGGTCAAGATGGCAGGTAGAGGTTTGCTAGTATTCTAGTATAACTTAGGTATATGGTGATTAAAATGTTTGAGGGTTTAATAGTTCTAGTGTGTCTTCTAAAGCAGATACTGAATTATGCAACTACATCTGTATGGCTCTTGCCTTCCCAAAAAGCAGCCATTCCATTAAATCTGTCCTATTAAATCAAGTTGAAGCTAGGGCAAAGGTGATGTTATAATTAGAATTAAGCTGCATTAATGATGCAATTACAGCTAGCCAAACAAATAATAGAGATGAGCAACCCTCTTGTCTAAGTTCCTAAAACTCATTTTTTAATGTAACTATAACAAGCTGGTCTTAAAAAAAAAAAGTATTTGGTTTTTCACTGATGACCCTTTTCCAGAAGAATCCACAAGTGTATAGTATCCCTGCTGTTAGAGGAAAGTTTTGAGATTAATTTTCCATTCTTTATTTTGATCTCTTTAGGGTCATTGTTGTGTGTTTAAATTCAGCCTTGCGTTAAAGCTTGATGAAGGGGCAATCTGCCTTCAGGTTTAGGATCACACTGTTGCCTTGCGTTAAAGCTTGATGAAGGGGCAATATGCCTTCAGGTTTAGGATCACACTGTACAGAACTCTATTTTCTTTCCCATCTGTTACTTCTGAAATTGTGAAGTTTCTCTTGATGTACATTAAATGAAATAAGTTAATCTTAGTGTTTAAATAGTTTATTTTTTCTCCTTACTTCTTTAGGGTTCGCTTAAGTCCTGCAGCTCGCAACATTCTGGAGACGCACGGTCTAGATCCAAGCAATATTACACCTTCTGGGCCTCGAGGAATCTTCACTAAAGAGTACGTAGGTATTTCAGGAAAGCTAGAATCTCATATTCCCATATTTCTTCCTTTGAACCTAGAGCAATCTTCATAAACTTGGGAAGTCATTATTTAAAAAAACAGCTTTTTGTTCCATTTTTTTCTATGGGGGAATGGCGTAGTTAAATTTGAAAAAACTGTTGAGAAGATGCAGAGAATAGGATAGGAAATATTATTAAGAAGCCTTTAATTTAAAAAAAAAAAATAATCCTTTTTGTTTTTATATCCCATCTGAACTGCCTTGTGTTACTGTCACATTTCCTGCAACTCAGCCTAATAGTGGCTATCAACTCCTAGGCACCACTGTTTACTACCATTATGGATTGCAAGAATTTTGCTACTCTGAGATGTATTCAGAGCCAAAATAAAATGCTGGTGGCCTGTTTTCTTCAACTCCTTTTCTTTGGGGCGTTCAGATCTTTAGCTGCTTTCACTGAAGTTCAGTTATGAAGTCTGTCAGGATTTAATTTATTCCCTTTTTTATTAGGCTGGGGAGAGCAATGAAGTATAATGGTAAGAAATCCAGAGTTCTGTTTTTTTCCAATCTTTGTTTCCCCCCATCTTTGATTTAAAGAATGTTCGTTTACACACCTGTGGTTTGCTATGATCAGGTTTCTAGTAGTTCATTATACTCTGTGAGTATTTTGATGTAGTGATTGGTACTCAAGCCTGGGAGTGAGGAATTTGTGTATAAAAACACATGGTAGATCCAGAGCCCTTAACCTTGAAATGGTGTGGTATCTTCACAGTAGTGTGTATGTAATTGGAGATGAGGATTTTGGCAGGAATACTTATTTTTGTTCTCAATAAAATTATTCCTTTTAACAAGTACCATCATTCACCTACGCAGACTGCTGTAAATTTAGTTCCATTCAAAGACAACCAGGTCTGTGTAACTTGGAATTGAACCCAGAGAAGCAGATGGTGGAAGTCTGCTGTTTTTTCAAAAGTCATTTTCCTATGGTCTTAGCATGAGTTGAGATAAAGTAAGGAGTTGAAAACATATATATATATATAAACATATATATATATAAATATCCTATGTAACAGGAAATTATTGGAGAGAATATTTTCTTAATTATGTAAGTGTAGTGGTAATTTATGGTATGTTACTAGGCTATGACAGGTGGAAACCCTCTAGGACTTTGAGCTACCTAATTAACATTCCCTAGTTGTCATGGAGATGTAGCAAAGATTTTTCTGTAGCTATGAGAATTATCTAACAAAATCTTTTCTGAAAACTCCTTTCTTCTATACAAAAGATTTTACTTTCAAACAATCACTTTAAGATACAGACTGTCTGGGGTGCTTTTTATCCATTCTTTTGAAATGGTGTTAATCTTCTGGATGCCTACAGGCTCTGTTATTATGTTCAGTTTGAAATGAAATGTTTCAGATCTTTGCAGAGAGCAGCTACAGATATTCAGGGAAATATTTCTTTTGCTAACTTGAGATTACTGTTAAAATAGATGCCATACTTTATAGCTGAGTGACTCATGGTGTCTTTTCCAAGTAGAGTAGTGATTGATTCTTTGAGGGAGTGTTGCAGCTTCACTTTTCACTTTTAACTCTGAGTTTCCTTATTGAACAGGGCTCACACTCACCAGATTACAAGAAACAAAGAAAGATAATGAGTTGTGTAAGCAAGATAGATTGCCCACCCCCGACTTCCTATCTTTGCATTCAGTTCACTGTAAGACTTTCACCAGCTACAGGAGCTTCTACTTAATAGTTTTCTCTGCCATAATCTACTCCCTTAGTAGACTGATACTTCATTTCTCTTATCTGTCTGTGCGTGGCTAAATTACTTTTGTTGTCTTCCTAATACTTTTTGTTTTATGGAGTGGCAGTTTTTTTATTTTTTATCAATATCCTCTGCTTTCTTCAGAAATGCACTAGAAAATTGACACGTCAGTACAAAGTAACTCACAACTTCCATCAAATATTCCACTGTGTTCCTAGTCATCAGCTCAGATGCTGTTTGGGAGAGCGTGTGCTAAAATTGTTGCTTGTTTCAGAGTACTTGTGCCCTTCCTCATTCTATTTACTAGTGATCTAGGGATTTATAAATGCAACCATAAAAAGTTGGGAGGTCTAGCTTTTCTGAGGCCATGTTCCTCCCATCTGTATCTTCATAGAATCATTGAATCAATTAAGTTGGAAGAGACCTTAAGGATCATCTAGTCCAACCATCAACCTAACTCTGACAAAAAAATAAATAAGAAATAGGAAATAAAAATTACTAAACCATATTCCTGAGGACCATGTCTGCCCGTCTTTTGAACACCACCAGGGATGGTGCCTCAGCCACTTCCCTGGGCAGCCTATTCCAATGCTGGATAACCCTTTCAGTGAAGAAATGTTTCCTAATATCCAATCTAAACCTCCCCTGGCACAACTTGAGGCAGTTTCCCCTTGTCCTATCTCCTGTTCCTTGGGAGAAGAGACTGACCCCCCCTGGCTACCCCCCCCTTTTCAGGTAGTTATAGAGTGCGAGAAGGTCTCCCCTCAGCCTCCTCTTCTCCAGGCTGAACACCCCCAGCTCCCTCAGCCTCTCCTCATAAGAGCTGTCGCTAAGTTAGTGTGATTTGGCATTGGAGCTGTGCAGGCATTTGCATTTTCAGCTTGCAAATAAGGCACAGCACACACACGTAGTCCTAGTTTACCAGAGGGTCATTTCGTGTGTGAGTATTGAGTGCAGGCTTACAGCGGGATCTGTGCGGTGTGCCATTCGTCAGCTGCAATTATGTGCAGAAAGTACAATACCTAGATGTTCCTCATGTGTAACGTTCTCAGCTCACCATTTTCCTGCTTCCAGGAAATCTATGAATTGACTAATCAGATGTTCAAAGGACAGGAGATTGGGACAAGTTAGTAACAATAACTGCCACCAGACTGCACCACTGCCAGTCTGTGCATCTGCTGTTGCACCATTGGATCCTTTGTGATTTTTAGGTGTGTGTATAACCTCTGAGTTGTCCATTTCAAACAACGTATGTTTTGAGCATAAAATACTCTGTTAAATTCTGCCATTCTTTGGATTTTGGCTAACATGGCATGGAAAGACTTCTGTAGTGGTGGTAAACTGAAGTCTAATGGAGTTTCCAGAATCTGCATACTTCTAACAATGACATCTTGGTAAGGGATACTTTTTTTGAATAAATGTTTACCAGGCTCTGGTATCATTTCCGGGGAGCAGGTTACTGTCTGTCATGTTTGTTACACCCCTCTCTCACCTTTTTCCATCATTATCCTGTGTTGATAGAAGTCTACCCTTCTTATTCCTGTTCTAATTAAATATCTATTGGCCTGACTCGTACTGAAATCTGTTTAATTTGCTTTGATGCCTCCTCCAACTCTATTTATATGCAGGCTTGCAGTCTTGCACCCATGACAGTTAAGACATTACTATACCTATTTTTCTTAATCAGTTAATGATGTGGAATTGTTGCAGGGGGGAGAATTATTTTTATATGTATACATGACAACTATTTATGTGATTATATATATATGTGAAAATTGGTATTGTATATGTATATTTTATATGTATTTATATCTCATACTCATGCATGAGTTTCAAAAACTCCTGAGTGAATCTCCCAATCTAAAATTAAGCTCCATTTTGATAATACATTTTACAGTTAACACACTAAAAGTCACCAAAGTTATTAGAGCATTTTGACTTGGCTACGGTAGGTAGAACCATCTGGTTTTTGTCATTTGCATAATATATTGAAGTAATTTTAAAGCATTTCCTTAGCCTTAAAAGCTTTTATAAGATCTTATAAATTTTATATTTTATGTATCATGGAGTATAATGAGCAGGTGGCCTGTCATATGACTGCCAGGTTAAAATCCTTAAGTAATTTTTGGTAGCTTCTAATATGTTAACTGGAAAAGTTGCATTATGTCATGCAGTTACATTTTTTTATTTTTTTTTTTCCCTCTCAAATTGTAGAGATGATTTTCCTCGGGGATGATGTGCATTCAACGAAATCTAATTTTTTCCCTGATATAGTAGTTCTGTTAAATACTAACTACTTATTTTAAAACAAGTTTTGGCTAATGTGAATTTGGGAAAATAAGTAACGATTTTAATAATGACCAACTTACATGCTGAGCTTGGTCTTTTTTTTTAATTATTTGTTGAAGTATGTATTGAAGCTAAAAATAAATTGAAGTGAGTCACTAATCAGTAGAAGTCATTATTTAGAGCATACTGAGTTTTTGGTTTTCACTTTGTGATTCTGAAGTGCTATTTTGTTAGGAAGAGCTAAGAACTCATAATGTTGTTCTGAGATTTTGTCCTTTCTACAAAAAATTACCAACACAAAGGACTGACTCCCACTCGAAGACATACATACTCTCATTCTAGCAGGAATCTATTGAAATTAGGTAGTTCTGTTGTTTAGTATTTATGGGTTATGTTTCAAAGCCATGATATGGTTGTAAGTAGTCTCACTTTTACACTTATTTTTAATTTCCTCTGCCACTTGATGTAATAAAGCTTTGTACTTTTATGTGTACATAAAGATTTGTGTACGTGCTGTGGTGATGTCTTTATGAAGTGATATAGATTTATCTAGGGCATACGATACAGACTTTTGTTATCAGATCTGAAGCATAAAAGAGGAAATCTATGGCTGATAGAGCTCTTCTAACAAGTTGCTATTATAGGTGCACTTACAGCTGCAAAACAGAAGCTTTACTATAGCTTATTTCCCTTACAGTTGGTGGTGTAAATGCAGTGTTTTCTATTTAGTCCCATAGGTACTAATGTTTAGCATGTTGCTTTGTAAAAGCAGTGCACCTAGGGTAGATGTAATATTATAGCTTAAACATGGGAGTTTACTTATGTGTGTCATAGTGTGCCTGCAAGAGAGAAGTTTTGTGGTGATAGCTATACAGCTATACAGTACAGACCCTGGGAGAATGCTTGCAGAGTAGAGGAGGTTCAGTCACACCTGGGACTGTTAGACGTTTCTCAGTTTTTGGCTTTGTTTCTTTAGTGTGTGTGCTTTCAAATTGCTTATGGAATATGGGATTGTATACTATTTACACCTGTTTGCACATATTTGTCAAAAAGGTATAGAGAATTGAATGATAAATGTACTACTCAATTTTCTGTGAGCACTAATTACTTACATTAAATTCAAATGATTACAACTATAATAGATGAAACAGCTTTTATTTGAGACTTTATAGCCTAAGTGTACTCTGATATCTTCTTTAGAAGAATTGCTAGTGCAATTCACATATTACCTTGTACAATCACAGTTAGTGATGATGAATGTTATGCTTCTCTGACAAATGTTTTCTGTTATATATTCAAGCCCTTTTATTCAGAAGTTAATGATTATTTACTGAAAAGATAGCAGAAAAGAGACACAAAATTCATATTAGTTAATATTAATCACCATCTTAATGTTTGGTCTGACAATAGAAATTTAAATGCAGGTAATTAATTAAAATAAGTGATGAAATAGTAATACTTCAGGAATTTTTGAAATAATTTCTTTGTTGTCAGTATTTCACTGTGTTTAATCACCAGGGATGCTCTCAAACTCCTGGAAGAGAAGCGCAAGGGCAAGCCCAGTGAAACGAAACCTGTGGTTTCTCCAGCTCTTCCCCAGCCTACTGCAGTGCCTCCTGCTTTGCAAACAGCAGCTGGGACTTCTGCTTATCCAAGGCCAGCAGTTCCACCAGTTTCCACACCAGGACAACCTGCTGCACTGGTAAGGTGTCTGTTAAGTCCTCAACATTGCTGCAGTTAAGTATTGCTATGGCTACTTCAGTAGCTGTATAAGCTTTCCAGAACTGGAAAGACAAGAAAACTAACACGCCACCCAGATGCTAAGCCCAGGTATGTGCAGTCTTTAGTATGTTTGAGTGATTTTAAAGCAGTGTAATTCAAACTGCAGAGCTCTTGAAATTATGCTCTGTGCACTGCTTTGTGTAACTTGCAAATGGAAACCATAAAAAAGTTTGTTGCAGGCTTGGAAAGAGGAAGGCCAGAGAGGCTGCAGTTCTCAGTCCCCAAACAAGAAGATGAGACTAATTTGGAAATCAACAATATACCCTTTCCCTCAATCCCTGCAGGATCAGTATGGCAGCATGTATTTCCAAACCTGGAGAAACTGGAGTCCTGGATTATTTTTACTGTACTTGATTCATTAACTTATATTCCATGAAAGCAAATGTAAATATCCATTGATGAGTTGTCAGGAGGTGATGAAGGAAAGGACTTAGTGGTTGCTTTGAAGAGTAATTTTGCAAACTCTAGCACGTAAATACAGTTTCTGTGTTAATTTGAAATGTTAGAAGTACCAGAAATTATTCTTTAACAAATAAATGTCCATGTTTAAACACACATTAGTAGAAATTGAAAATTTTTTGTGAAAAATGATGGGGGGGAGACTTTCTGGCTCTACAACGAAATTTGAAGTATCTGTACAGGCTGCAGTTTACAATGTAGCTACAATTCATAATATTCAGAAAATGACGCTTTTTTTTTTTCGTGCTGCAAAGAACCAGACAGCACAGAAAGCTCAAACTTAGATAGTTTTCCATTACAGGAAAAAAACATGTTTCTGTCATTGCACAAGAACATACATATTGCAATTTCTTGTGTGTGGAGAACTACTCAGTATACGTGCTATAGATGAGGTATACAAAATAATGTTTTACAGAATCACTTGTTTTCTTGTTTTCTGTAGTTACTGGTGTAGAATAGCAAAAATGGCAGTAAATCCTGTCTTAAGGAATCACTTGGAAATGAAAAAGCAGTAGCTTACTGAGGAAATAGTCTGTTATGACTTAAATGGAACAAAGTGTGTTCTGAGCAATATGCCACGTCTGGCAGATTGAGCAGTGCTTAGATATTCTGGATGAGAATTAATGCCTGAATTAATGTGGGTTCAGAGGAGGGCCACGAGGATGCTCGGAGAGCTGGAGCACCTCTGCTGTGAGGACAGGCTGAGGGAGCTGGGATTGCTCAGCCTGGAGAAGAGAAGGCTCCGGGGAGACCTTATAGTGGCCTTCCAATATCTGAAGGGGGCCAACAGGAAAGTTGGGGAGGGACTTCTTACAAGTGCTTGTAGCGACAGGACGAGGGCAGATTAACTAATCTAAATTTAGATTAGACATTAGGAAGAAATTCTTTACAGTGAGGGTGGTGAGACTGGAAGAGGCTGCCCAGAGAAGTGGTGGAGGCCACGTCCCTGGAGATATTCAGGCTTGATGAGGCTCTGAGCAATCTGATCTAGTTAAAGATGTCCCTGCTTGTGCAGGGGGGGTTGGACTAGATGACCTTTAAAGGTCCCTTCCAACCCAACACGTTCTATTTGGAAATATTTTTTTTAAGCAGTCTGCTAGAATAGTAGGATTAGTTTTATGCTGTAAATTGAAACTGTCTTTATTCTGTAAATCTGTTGTGTTGATCCAAGTTAAGTGGAGTAGACTCAATGGATCTCAACTATATTAATTTCAGTAGTTGGAATATATCTCTTTTTGATATCTAGGGGATGTTTGAAGTGAGCAGGAGTCGCTGATGATAACAAGGCCATGCTGGAGTCCTGTTTGAGCAAAGGGGACGAATGTTTTCTCTCTTGATATTTAATATGCAACATATGATTTCTTTCAGGGCACATTCACAGAAATCCCAGCTAGCAACATCCGAAGAGTTATTGCAAAGAGATTAACAGAGTCTAAAAGTACTATACCTCATGCATATGCTGCTGCTGACTGTGACATTGATGCTATTTTGAGATTAAGAAAAGAATTGGCCAAAGGTTAGTGGTTAAACTGAATTACTATAACATGGTACTAATGTGTATAATCAAAGATTGCTTTGTTTTTGCTAAAATCCGCTAAGTACACCATGCAATAGGATGTTTTAATAGTTTCAAAATTAACTGTGCAGACTAAAATCTTTCCTAAATCTCAGTTCTACAAGATATAGATGACATACCTTTTAAATTTATTTTTTTTTTCAGTAGAATGCTCTTCAGGCAGATACTTCATGCAAAATATCAGAACAGTGTTGTTTGCTTAGTGTCTTTTTGTTTAAGGACTTCTACTGAGTTGGGTAAAAAACCCAATCAAAATCTTTTATTACTTTACTGTCATAATCTTCATAATTTAAATTATTTTTATTACCTTTAGAAATACTTGATCAATATGCTGATTTTAATGTTGTCTACAAGAAGTGGCTCCAATTTCATAGTTTGTGAAAGCATTGAACCAAAACCCGTGGAAACTCTTTATGAAATCACTTATAGATGGTTGGACTCGATGATCCCAAGGGTCTCTTCCAACCTAGACGATTCTATGTTTTTGCCTGTAGTTACTGGAATTTTTCCTTCTTTTTTAAAATTTGGTAGCTGGTTTAATATTCTGTAAAGAGGACACCAGCACAGTGCAATCTGTGTATAAATACCAGCATCAGAAATATGCAAACATATGTTCTAATAAAGCTCTGACATCTGTAAATTAATTTGATCAGGCCAGATTTACAGCTGAGTAGGTTCAACATGTATTAATCGAGGGCATCTTGCTCTTCAGTAACTCACTTTAAGTTAGAGGATTTTCTCAAAATTTTCTTCTGACTCGGAGATATTTAAGCTTGAGGAAAAAAATATTTTATGTCTTTTTTTCCATCACACTTATAAGGCGGCTATTGTCCAATAAGTGCACATCTTGAACAAGAATTTAAAAGACTGTAATGAAATAAGGTCAGAGAGAGAATGGTTGAGCAGTTGCATTATAAGACTTTTTCTCAGCAATGTTGTATCTCTGTCACCAGTCTGGTAAGCTGTGGAAAAAAATAACTAGTTAATTCCCTGTCCTTTCAGTCTCACCTTCCATCTTCATTTATCTCCTAAGCTACTTGCAGAGGTTCTAGATTTTTGGGAGATATTTTTCTTCAGAGAAAAGCTGGATTAAAGAGTTGAAAACCTGTGCTGCTTGTGCCTCTGTAGTATCTTCGTTCTTTGTGATGCAAAAACTTGAGCTTTTTTCAGCTGTTCTAGTCCACGTGACACATTTTGGCGTCAGACCTGTAAAACAGTTATTCAAGCCCAGCTGAGGTGATGTTGCCGAGTAGGAAGCAGTAGCTGAGGGGTAGGGAGCCAGGCGCAGGTGGGGGCAATGCAATTTCCTGCCTGGCTGTGATGCTCTCATTCTACTACATTGAAAAATGAGGTTTGGAGGCAGCTGTCCAGGAGGAGTAGCTGAGGAGAAAGAGTAGTAATGAGAAGAAAATTTGTTGTTGTTTTGGGTTTTTTTTGGTTTCTTTTTTTTTTCTACTGTACCTCTTTAGAAACAAATTTTGGTCTTAAAAAAGACATTCATGGTAGAATTCAGCTCTCTACACAAGAGGAAGGTACATAAACAATATCACATGTATTCTTTTTGGTGGTGTTGAATTAATCCTTTTTTTCTGGTTTTAAATCGTTCTCAATAGTTCAGCTTTTATATGTGTACCTCATTATTACACCAAGTAGTAGAAATAGAATTAATAGTGTGTGCTGTTTTAGACATTTCCACAACAATGAAAAGTGAATATTTATATCTTTAAGGCAGTGGCATGTTTTATTCTAAAGCTTCATCGTTGCTATCACAGTTTGAAAGCTTGTAGGGTCAGGCTCAAATGATGATTTTCTGAATCCATGTGAACTCTGCATTCAGTATAGCGTAGCAGGATAGTTTTAGTTTACATTTTTATTGCAGTACTGATTGCGAAACCAAGTGCTTTCTTCGCCTGTATTGATGCATTTATAGCACAGTGTGAAAACTGGGGCCACCTATTGCTGACATTGCTGTGGCTTTATTTAATCTGCACAAATTAGGTCCAGTTCTGAGAAATACTGCATGTTCTAAGGTTAAACTGAAGTCTCTGAAACCTAGAGAACAATAGCCTTGAAAACTGACCCCAAATCACAACACTTCTAACAAACCTCCTGAAAAAAGGAGAAATACTGTTAATCATCAATTATTGCACATTCACTGAACTTGAGTCCTGACTTTTTACTGAACATTTTTCTCAGAGGCTGCATGTGATAGTAATGCTAAGGAATGCTATTTGGAATTCTAAATTGCTTTCAGCATTTATGTCAGTTTTGGGGCTTTAGTTATCATCAGTCAGTTACTAATTTCAAAGCAAAATATGGTAATGGTTTTGAAAAGTCATGAAAGAGTACAAGGGCCTTTTTAAGTTTTCTGTGTAGTAAGTAGGACTATGTTTAACAAAACTTTTGAAAGGATGAAGAACCTAATCCAAGCTGTCAAGGAAGAGAGCCTGGATTGACAGGGAAGGAAATGAGAGTTGTTACCATGTATTGCTGTACATGTGAAGGCTGCATTTCTGGCAAGTAGAATGAGGAGGAAACAAGACTAAAAAAAGAAAATATGTCAGTTTGGAGGGCTTTCATGGTAAGTAGTTCTGGAGCTAGGAGATTGAATTTGGTGGGTCCCACAATCAGTTTCTGAGGTCTGTTCTAGAGAGTGGTCCCCCTGAAGTCTGGTTCTGACAAATTGCAGTAGCTAAACAATGTCTTAAGAGAAACCTGTTGTGACAACCTAGAAAAATATGTATTGTTTATATTTAAAATGGGCGGGTGGGATGTATGTTGAGTTTCTTTTATACATAATTGGAAAAATGGTATTTTCGTTAATATAATTTGTAAAAGTAAACTTGTTTTTCATTTGAAGCTTTACTGGCAATTGAAATGAATTAAAGTGAATCTGAAAGAAAACATATTGGTTTCATAGAAATAATGAGTCCAAACAGTGTTTCAGGTTATCTTTTGGAGTATCTGCAACTCGATGTGTGTTTGAGTCTCCTAGAAGCAGAAGATTCAGTTTGGACTGATGTCAAATAAGAGAAGAAAGGGAGCAGTAGTACAACAGTTTGTGGTTTTGTTAGTAGATATTTGGTTGTCACGTCCTTTTCAGTTCTTGAAAGAAAAGAACTGGGTCTTGAACTCTGGAAAATGGATGAGTGTGAATCTTTAATTGATAAGGCACTTGTACAAATGCACCGGGAGGTAAGAGTTGGCATTTCTTGGTATCCCGGGGAGATGCATGCTTTCGTGTGCCCCTTTACTCTTAGGTACAAAGTACTCATTGAAAAATATGCATTAAATAACTTCTCTGTAATAAATAATTTGATAGAGAGCAAAATATGGTTTTCTGGCACTCAGGAAACAACTGCCAGTTTTAAGTCAAGAGTGTTAAATTTTACAGACTCCAAAGTCACATGAATATTTCTGACCAGTGACACAGTGGGCATTGGTAGCTTCAAAGTAATATTTTTATTACTGTAGCTTTGGGTGATGATCCACAATTCAAGAAGATTATGACAATCTTTCAGTTATTTGATCAAAACGTTCTTGGTACTGTTTACTTGTCTTTAATTATTTTTACAGGGCTTTTGTTTGTTTGTTGTTTGGGGTTTTTTTAGCATGAAGAAGGAGAACAGCAGTAGAACCAAGAGATAAAAGATATCTTCAGCCTTTTGTGGTTTGGGAAGGTGGGAGGGGAGGAGGTTCATTCTTTGTTTTTTGAAAAAATAGTATTGTATTTGCCCTAGACAGAGTACCTAGGTCTTCAGAAGCTTTCTTGGTCCCATCTGTAAACGTTTTGTATGACAAGACCAACATAACTCAAATGAGTAATTTTCTTGTCTTCGGGGAAAGGAAGGCACATCAGCAATCCAGTATTCACTGCCTATTACGCCAGATAATAAGCAGTGATTAGCTGTAGGTCGGTGGGTGGTTTGGTTTTTTTTTTGTTGTTGTTGCCCCACTCTCCCCAGCCCCTCCAGAATGATACTATAGCTTTTATATGTGACATCTCTTCCAGCTCTAGATGCTAGTGCTCAACTATAGAATGACTTTTGATTTACTGAAAGCTTTGCCTCTGGGGCAAGGTTAAAAAGCAGCTTTGTTGTTAATCATGGTACAATGTCAAAAAATATCTTCCAAGTTAAATTTCTTTACATGAATAGGTTATCATGTGGAAGCATAGAAAAGGGTTTTCGAGGCTAATCTAATAAAGTTAGCCTTGAAGGGTTCTGTATACAGAGGCACCAGCTAGTTTTTAAACACAGATAAGTGTTCGTATGGCTATATGCCTTTCTGACAAAGAATGTATTAGTCTTTGCTCTCTCCTTGACCCATGTTTTTGTTGATATAATACAAGATATGCTAGCAACCAGGTATTTCTAGCAATTCAGACTGTTTTGATTTTCCTGGGTTGTCACAGTATAGGGGTGTTCTCGTGATAGAACAAGACATAAATCCTCCAGGACTCCTCAGGTGCTTCATAGTCATCTGCTGTTCCTGAGGCTTTACCCTGTGCGTGAATTTTCTCTTAGTGTAGTGTCCCAGAGCTTTACACCTAGGAGCTAGAATGCTGACACTGGGGGGCTACTGTTATGTGCTGGTGACTAGCCCGCACTTCTTTATCCATTTGTGAGGTCCTAAATAAAATTAGACTAGTATATTCAGATTTTCTAGATAATGATACAGGAGCTGCTTCTCCTTTCACTGGAGTATTGAATGACTACTTTATAATGCAAGAGTACCCAGGTCATTTTTCTACCTGATTTTTTTAAATGATGCCGTATTCACAAGTTAATGTCAAAGACAATTTATGATATTGACATTTTCTTTCAATAGTAGCAGATTATAAGAGATGAAGTACAAAATTGTCTTAGGATGTTCACTTGAAATATTTCATATCTCTCCTGCTGCTGTGGATTCTGAATTAATGTTTTTTCAAAATGTAGAGGTGGGAAAGAGCAATATGTCTTTGCATAAAATTGAATTGCAGCAAAGGTCCTGGTACATTTCTTTTCTTTTTCCCAATGGAAATGTTCTTGGTTTCTCACACACGATGAGATGAGATGAAATCTGGCAAAGGAAGCAGGAGACTTCCATGGTTGAGCAGAGAGCTTCTGAAAAAGCTCAAGTGGAAGAGGGAAGTTTGCAGTGCGTGGAAGAAGGGACTGACCACTTGGGAATATGCAGTGGTGAAACAAGGAAAGCCAAAGCCTCCTTGGAATTAAACTTGGCAAGAGACATCAAGGTCAACAGGAAGGGTTTCTTCAGGTATATGGGAGGCAAAAACTAGAGAAAATGTGGGCCTGCTGTTGCTGTGGTGACAGAGGATGCAGAGAGGTGGCGATGCTGATTGCCTTCTTTGCTTCATTCTTTACTGTTCAAGCCGGCCCTCAGGAGTCCCAGACTTTGGAGGTAACAGAGAAAGTGTGGACAAAGGAAAACAAAGGAAAACTTGGCCTTGCTTGAGGAGGATCAAGTTAGAGATCAGTTAAGTAAGCTTCTCTATCTACAAGTCCACGGGTCCTGATGGGATGCACCTGCGAGTGCTGAGGGAGCAGGCAGAAGTCGTTGCTGGGCCACTCTCCATCATCTTTTGAAAGGTCCTGGAGAACAGGTGAGGTGCCCAAGGACTGGAGGAAAACAGATGCCCCTCCAGTCTTCAAAAAGAGCATAAAGATCGATCTGGGAGACTACAGGCCGGTCAGCGTCACCTCCATCCCTGGAAAGATGATAAAACAGCTTGTGCTGGGCGTCATCTCAAAGCATATGGAGGAAAAGAAAGCTATTGGAAGTAGTCGACATGTATTCACCAAGGGGAAGTCATCTCTGACTAATCTGATAGCCTTCTACAGTGGTATGACTGGATGAGGGGAGGGCAGTGGATGTTGTCTACTTTGACTTCTGCAAGGCTTTTGACACCGTCTCCCACAGCATCCTCATTGGTAAGCTTAGGAAGTGTGGGTTAGATGAATGGACAGTGAGGTGGATTGAAAACTGGCTGAAAGACAGAGCTCAGAGGCTTGTGATTAGGGGCAGAGTCCAGTTGGAGGTTGTTAACAAGTGGTGTTCCCCAGGGGTCAGTACTGTGTCCAGTCCTCTTCAATATTTTCATCAATGACCTAGATGAAGGGATAGAGTGTACCCTCACCAAGTTTGCTGATGACACAACACTGGGAGGGGTGGCTGACACACCAGAGGCTGTGCCACCATCCAGCGAGACCTGGACAGGCTGGAGAGCTGGGCAGAGAGAAGCCTAATGAAGTTCACCAAGGGCAAGTGTAGGGTGCTGCAGCTGGGGAGGAATAACCCCCTGCACCAGGACAGGTTAGGGGTTGACCTGCTGAAGAATAACTCTGTGCAAAAAGACCTGGGAGTCCTGGTGGACAACAGGATGACCATGAGCCAGCAATGGGCCCTTGTGGCCAAGAAGGCCAATGGTGTCGCAGGGTGCATCAAGAAGAATGTGGCCAGCAGCTGGAGAGAGGTCACTGCTTTGTCATTCTCATATATTTTTCAGTCTGCTTTAGAATATATTGTTAACCCATGTTAAGGATTGACAGGTGCCTTCACCTTCCAAACTCTTAAATTATAAAGCCCCAATGGTCACTGGAGAATAACGTACTTCTGATTTGTAGCTGATCTCTGCAATTATTCCTGTTAATGCATCACAGTACATAAGGAACAGTAGTCTGTATATTTAGATCCAACAATAGATTTCTACATAGACATTAAATATGTAAAGTATGAAACACATATGGACTGCTACTTATGAGGAGTAATACGTTTGCAGCTTTTTTGACCTTCTAGTAACAGCTAGCAAGGATGTCTCTGCTCAGGAGACTTTTCCTTGATGATACTCTTTTTGTCCCAAGGGTGAAAAAAGTTTTCTTTTATGATTGTAGTTTGAAGGTGAGTTACGTTTTGGCAAAGTTTCAAAGAAGCAAATCTCCTGAATCACTGGAATCTTGTTATCACATAATGCTGATAAGCAAATCTTATGAGCAATGACTGTCTTTTTTTTTTCTGCAGATGACATTAAAATATCTGTAAATGACTTTATTATCAAGGCAGCTGCAGTTACTCTGAAGGTAAGTGAATAACTGGCTTTAAAAAAATATTTTTTTTATAGTAAACTCCTAAGAGGAGTATTTTTTGAGCCCATATGCAGATATGAATGCAATAATATCAAAGCTTATAATTCTATATCTCTTACTGTCAGGGTTTTTTTTTTTAAGCTTTACAGGTAAAATCCTGTACACTGTCTATGCTGTGGACTGTAAAAATGACAACTTCTTAGTAAAGATCCACTTACTACAGTTATCATCTGCAGGTAATGGCAGATGCTTTGTCAGCAGTTGGCAAGATAAGTCTTCTATTCTTTGCTGTTGCATCTTATTTTCTCTTACAGATGTAAACAAATCTTTATCCAAGTCTTACACCGATCTTGTATATTAGGTCAAATGTATTCTGGTAGCATATTCAGTGACATCTGCTTTGAATTAAAAATTCTTCAGGCGATCAGTCTTTGCTTATTGCTAAGAATTGTCATTGTTCCCTTTGTCAATGTAAAAGTTAATCAATTGCAATACATCCTGAAGTTAAGACCTTAAAATTCATTAGCACGTACATCCTCCATGCCACACTGCAGAGGCTTCACAGTCTCCATAAGCTCTCTGCGTGTTCACTGGGTAGAAATGGGGGCCTTGCCTTCCAATGTCATCCAGTTGCTATGCTTGGAAAACACTCCTAGTGCCACTTCATTTTTTGAAACTGAAAGGTCTTAGAGATATTTCTTTAGGAGAACTCCTCCGCTCATAGTGTCTCAAATATAATCACTTGGGAAACATTAATCTTATTTCCAAACTTATGAAAAGAACAAACTGTGGTGTTTTCACTTTGAGTGGAGTGGTTTTGGTTTAAATTCAGTTTGCGCTTAATTTTAGAATAAGTCGTAGGTGGGAGTTCTGACTAGTATTTTTAAGGTTTGGGAGGAAATAGTGTTACTGATTACTAACAGCTGAAAAAGATGTCTGTCATGTAGAAGGATAATTAAGGGGGACACATGCTTTGTCCTGTAACTATCCTATGGAGTTTGCCCTTGTCATCAAGGCAATATGTGACAATGAATGAATGCAGATTTTGAAGCAGTTTGGTATTGCCATGGATTTGTTGCCTATACCTTCTTGACTGCACAGTGATCGCACCTTCTAGCTATATGGTAAATGTCTAGAAAAGCTAAACTTCTCTGATATCATTTCATCATTTGAGCAGTGGGGTCTAAAAGCTGCGGATAGACAAGATAAAGCAGAACAACGATCCAGACTAGATGCATTACCTCACAATATAAAACCATCAGAAAGGGAGTGAGAGCCATCTTTCTCATTTGCCAAAATTATTTTATCTATTTGAAAGGGGGAGGAGGAAGTTACATTTAACTTGGGGAACTATTCCCATGGATGTGTGGAATTAAGAGAGAACACTGTACTGGAATGGACTTGAGATTCTAGCCAAACATGATCTAAATATTCATGTGTAATTGCAGGTGTTACAGATTTTGACAGGAAATAGGCAATAGTCTAGGCGGTTTCATAAGCAACTACCTGAGAGAAATGCTGGGCATTGGACAGACTGGAAAAAAAACTTCTGAAGTTATTCTATACCAGAAACAGGAGGAGGAGTTAAATGGGAGTTTGTAAGATGTGAACATAGCTAGAAGCAGCTTTTTGTGGCCTAATGAGGCCTTACACAAGGAAATAGTGACATCCAAAAATCACTGTGAACTGGTAGGTGTGAGTATGGATTAACAAATCTCTGCACCAGAAAGCAGGTGAAAGGAACAGGAAGCACAGAGAAGAATGAAAGATTAAGTTTTGTGATTTTTCTACTCTACACAAAAAGAAAAATAATGGGGTTTAATCCTAGTTTACAATTCATCTATATGTGAAAAATGACTTGAATACAAGCATTCAATGTACTTTTTACTACTTACATAATAAAAATGGTTTGTTATTTGTGGGGTTTTTAAATTGTTGCATGAAACTTTAAAAGATGAGTAGCTTCCCATACATTTAACTGTTAAGCTGCTTTACTGTACTTTGAAGGACCATACATGTGGCTTCTGCATATTGTTCATTGCCAATATTTAAAACAAGATTTCCTTATCTACTCTCACAAAATGACCTAACTGATTAATGCAGTAAATTATTTGTCTTTCTGATAGACAAATAAAAATATTAGTCTTTGTATTCTTTTTCCTACTATTTTCAGCAGGCACTTGTATAATACAGAATTTGAATCTTGAACTTCAGGATCAGATAGATGCTGCGAACATGAGAAGTTCATCTGTAGTGTGTCATTTTTAACTTTAAAGGAAATTCAATAGACAACCCTAGTTAATGATAATGCATATCAAGCTGAAGTTTTTGTGCATTTGGTTAGAAGAAATTCTAACCTGGGAACTCTGATAACTACTGTCCTGTCAGCCTCACCTCTGTGCCTGGGAAGATCATGGAACAGATCCTCCTTGAAGCTATGCTAAGGCACACGGAGGACAGGGAGGTGATTTGAGACAGCCAGCAGGGCTTCACCAGGGGAAAGTCAACCTAGTGGCTTTCTCTGATGGACTTAACTCCATCAATGGACAAGAGAAGATCTACCAATGTTGTCTATCTGGACTTCCCTTTGACAGAGTCCCCCCCACCATCCTTCTATCTAAATTGGAGAGATACAGATTTGATGAGTGGACTGTTCAGTGGAGGAGGAATTGGCTGGATGGTCACATCCAGAGAGTAGCGGACAACGGTTCAATGTGCAGCTGGAGATCAGTGACAAGTGGTGTGCCTCAGGGATCTGTACTGGGACCAGTACAGTTTAATATCTAAATCAGTTACCTAGGCGGTGGGATCAAGTGCACCTTCAGCAAGTTTGCAGATGACACTAAGCTGAGTGGTGTGGTTGACACGCCTGAGGATGCCATGCAGAGGAAGCTGGACAAGCTTGAGAAGTGGGCTTCATGAGATGCAACAAGACCCAGTGCAAGGTCCTGCACCTGGGTCAGAGCAACCCCTGGTATCAATACGGGCTGAGGGATGCAGGGATTGAGAGCAGCCCTGCCAGGAAGGACCTGGTGGTACTGCTGGACGAAAAGCTGGACATGAGCCAGCAATGTGCACTTGCAGCCCAGAGAGCCAACTCTACCCTGGGGCGCGTCAAAAGAAGCATGGCTAGCAGGTTGAGGGAGGTGATTCTGCCCCTCTGCTCTGCTCTGGTGAGACCTCACCTGGAGTACTTTGCCCAGCTCTGGAGACTCTGGAGCCCTCAGGGGGCTGGAGCACGCCTCCTGCAAGGAAAGGCTGAGAGAGTTGCGGGTGTTCAGCCTCAAGAACAGAAGGTTCTGGGAAGACCTTATTGTGACCTTTTGGTACTTCAAGGGGCCTATCCTATTGCCTTGTTGCAAATCTATGCTAGCATTCATTTGGCTATTAAAAAATAAAAATAAACTAAAAAAAAAAAATCCAAAAAACGACCAAAAGCCAACAGTTTTAACCCAGTATACCAAGAAATAAGTTCATGGTCAAGCTCATGTCTCAACTACTTTCTGTTTTTCAGGAATATACATGGAGTGTACTAGTTTAAAAAAAAAAAATAAACCTCATCTCCACCTGCTCCTCTGCACCCCAAAATTCAGTGGTGTGAATACATTCACAAGTTTAAATTCAAAGCTGTTTTATTGACTCTTCTGGGCACTGGTTAAATCATATTTTCTGAATGATTTCTTTCTGAACAATGCAAGACAAATGCTCTTCTAGCTTGAATGAGCTGAGAGTGACTGGTTTGACAGTTCATGATTGGTTGGCAAGCACCTCAAGATACTGGTTATATCAGTTCGTTAACATGCTAAATTTCTTCACAGTTCTTAGGATCACAAGTGCAATTGTGAATTCTGCCTTTGGCTTGGCCTTGCCATTTGGCAGCCAGAGGTTTGTACCAGTGGGCTCACCAGATGATGGACCATTAGAACAATTCTGGCTTTCTGCTACAAGGAGGAGGGAGTAAGGCTGGAGGAAGGAATGAAAGCTTCCAGGCTGATATGCACAAGTGGTTGGGCTTAGTAACAGCAGCCACTGTAGCAGACGTCCTTTAAAAATAAATAGTATTTAATTGCTGAAGCGATGGGAGAAATACACTGTCCGGTCTACATCAAAATTAAGACTGTTCTAATCATATTGAAATTGATAGGAAGAACTCCTTGTCCCTGCCATCTCCTTTGGATACCTTACATAGAGTCATACTTGCACAACATCCATTTGAAGGCATATGACAGCTGTGTATACTATGAGACTTGTGAAGAGGAGTATTTCACCATATTTTTTAATTTCTCTATTTTAGTTTTCTATTTTTCTACACCATATTTTTCTATTTATTCTTCTAGGAGTGGAGTTAGTTTAGGTACAGATAATGCATGTCTTCTATACCTTTTTTCTGGAATACCTTCTCCACAATTAAGTCAAATTCCTAGTTCCTAATTTCTTTAAAGTCACTAAATACTAATCTTGGATTTATTGGAAGTTAAATACTCACAGTATCTCTGACCAGTTACCTGAGACTTCACCTATATGTTGGGGGTTTTTTTTCCCCCTCTGAGCTGTTTCAGCTTTATATGGTAAACTCAAGAAACCTCATTGAAATTTTCAGTAAATGTTATCTCAATTTTAATTGATTCCACACACACAAAGATCTGTTCATTTTAAGAGAGTAACAGTTGAGTGTACCTACAGTGTATTCTAGTTGTATCTTCCATTGTTGAGAGTCATCCTTGAGACACAAGTAGAAAACAACATGTGGATACAGTATCCATTTCCACACTTTTTAAGTCAATATCCTGTGATTTAAATGGGGGGAGAAATGACACTGCTTTGTAGCTTTGCATGCTGGGCATCTGTGCGGTGGTACCAGTGACTCCTGAAGGAAATAGGCTTTTGTTAACTTTTTTCTCAGCAACACCAAAAATCCTTCTGGCTGCCCTGCCATTTTCAGTTCCTGGAGCATACATTCAGGCTTTTTGACAAAGTAAAATAAATAAATAAATAAATATATTTAAGTAATATATATTATGCATTAAATATATAATATATTAATATATATAAAATATATTTATATTTAATATATATTTTTATATAAAATAAAATAAAAATCATGTACATCTATTCTTAGATCCTCACAGTAATTATTTTTTTGGTCTTGCTTGTGGCAGTCCTGATGACAGATGTGACCTGTTCTTTTGCCTCCGTGTACAAACAGTAATTAATTTGGTGCATGCCTGTACATAACTACATGTCTTAAAGGATTCTCATTTTTCTTGATAATTGATTGCACCATACTTCTTTTAACAGCTTTAACTTTCTCTCTATCTCTTCTAGCAAATGCCAGATGTGAACGTAACCTGGGATGGAGAAGTCTGCAGGCAGATGCAGTCTATTGACATTTCTATTGCTGTGGCAACAGACCGAGGTCTCATTACACCAATCATAAAAGATGTTGCTGCAAAGGGAATAAAGGAAATTGCTTCCTCTGCAAAGGTAGGTCTTAAAGTAGGCTAAGGAATATCGTAGCTGTAGAGTGAGCTACATTAAACCTGTGATACTGTGATGCAGTATTACAGACCTCTCTTCCCATAAATTCCAGTGTTCTGCAGTTCCCTTGATGGGAATGTGCACTTCCACTGTGCTTAAGAAAGCTGTGACAAAGTAAGTATTCTCTTTTCACTCCAACTGCAATGTGTGTAACATAGGTCATGCTACTTAATATCAAAGTCTTTGAGTCACATAGACTGCAGGTGTCCACACCAACATAATTTTGCTTTTCAACTTCTTCAGTGAATTATTGAGTAGCTGACATACACATATGGGATGCACAAACTGAAACTGCAGTTGCTTCTCTACCAGTCCCTCTGTAGTTTGGCAGGTTTCTTTGTGTAGGTTGCATATGTCCTGTTCTGCTGCATGTTAATTTTAACTTTTTTTCCAAGTCATGTGCATCCTAATACCATATTTTCATTGTTCAAATAATGCAATTACACATACGCATTACGCTCGTGTTGATCCTGTTGCGCGAAAGCTGTTCCCATGGCTATTGTTTTCTGGTACAGCAATTATTCAGAGTTGAATAAAAACTTGAAATAAAATTCAGTGTATCCTTTTGCTTTTTAAATTCATAATAAGGGTGTCAAAGTTTTGTAAAACTTGGTTTAAGCTTGAATTATTAAGTGAGCGATTCATTAGAACGAGATTCTGTTAAACTTATTGGTGTTTATTTCTAAGCTGAAGTCACTGCAGCTGTTAAACTTCTGTGGCCTTTCAGAACACTTGCTTGAAAGATGTTTAGAAATGTATACAGGGAAGACACTTGTTTCCTATGACCATCAGAGTTATATTACAACATGAAAAGTAATAATCCATGTCACAACTATAGCTTCTAATCAGCACGTCTGTGTGGAACTTTATCTTGTAATGACTCTATTTCCATCCACATGTAAACAAAAAGAACTCAATTCAAGCATAGTTTCCACTTACTGACTCTGGTCCTTAAAGGCAGGGGTGAGTTTTTCTAGAAATTACCTCTTGGTAGGTTGAATTGAGTGGCTGACAGGATATTCATAGAACACATGTAGAAAAACCCTGAAAAAACACAGCGTGCAATTCCTAGAAAGCAATCTAGAAATTAAAAAAAGGAAAAAAAAAATTCCTAGAAAGAACATGGAAAAAATCCTAGAAAACAGTAGTAGAATTCCAAAAAAGGGGGCAGAAAATTCCTGGAAAACAGCAAGAATTCATGGAATAATCTAATCAAAGAAAGTTTCACAAACGTGATATATCGCTTTTTTCCATCCTGTGATAAAGTATATTTTTTGTTAGATTTTTTTATTCACTTCCACCAAAATTTCCCTAGCATAATTGAATTACAGGAAACTATCAGTAGTTTTGTTATTTTACCAGAAGAAGGAAAATATAAACAGACTGTGTTGATTTTATCAGTCTTTCCAGAAGCTGATCTGAGTCTTTTTCCCTGACTGTGCTTTCAGAAACAGTTGGGTTTGCAGCATTATGACATCTTAAGAGAATTGTCACAATGCACCATTTTCCATGCACTTTTCCATCTGTGGAATAAGTATGATAGAAGCCAAGCACATTAAATGTATTCCGTATGAATTGGATAGATACCTGTTCTGCATGTCCACTTCAGTCTTTGTTGTCAGTTGAAGAGCTCCTCAGTTTGAAAAGGTTGCTACTAATGGAGAAGTCATCCTGCACGTTTCCAGTAACCACCTTTCCATTAGGTAATCACAGGACGTTAGGAACCAGCTGGTGGCTGAATAACTCTTGACCCACCAATGAGTGCCATTTCTCTTGAGATCCACTCAGTTCTTTCTTCCTTATGTGACAACTGCCGTAAGAATTATTTGTTCTGATTCCCACTTCTTCCATTGCAAGAGACCTCTGAGCTAGAAACATCTTAGGTAGGGATAAAGTTCTTTTTCTCTGTGATCTTATCTTAGAATTTAGTATGAACTTCTTGGGCTGTATTTTGAATAAAAGAAGTAGAAAAGTCTCACAAATGAAATGGTGGTTACAGGAAGGGTTGGTTTTAAGGTAGTTGAATGCTTAGCTGGAAGAAATAAGTTCTCTTAATCTGCAAGAAAGTTCTGTAGTGGCACATGGCAAATTCTTTAAATATGTTAAGAAGAATACTGTGAATTTCTCATCAGTATTTTGCTAGATATTTTTGTCATCTGAAAACACTGGGGAGAATGGTGATTCCATTGCGAAAACTTAAGCACGGCTTGTAAGATAAGCAAACAGCTTTTATTGAACTGCCAATATAATTGAGAAAATGAACTTTTGCATCCCGGTGTCTTTGCCAAATCTTTGTAGCTACAACAACATTGCTGAGGTACTTCCCTAATTCCAAAAGCAGGTGACTTTTTAATGGCTATATGGTACTTTAGATTTCTTATTGAATTAAAAGGAATTACTCTGTTACATCACTTTCTTTCATCTCTCCTCTTCTTTCATTTTCCTCAGGCTCTAGCAAAGAAAGCAAGAGATGGAAAACTGTTACCAGAAGAGTACCAGGGAGGATCTTTTAGGTAAAACTCTCTAGCAGCATTTAATACATGCAGTGTCGGTTCAGATCTGTTTTATCCTCAGTTATTCTGCCTTTTAAAATCTTGCTCTGTTTAGGATGAAACTCCATGGGATGATTCTGAGGGCCGAACCCAGACTGTTTTCTTTATCAGGGGAAACAATTATCTTGCTACAGTTTTATTTCATCTGAGCCTGATGTGAAATCCATGTTTTTCATACCAAGACTGATCTGATTTTTGTTTTTGCACCTGATTTTTCCTAATTGCAGAAGACTATCGGGTTTTTTCTATTTTTTTTTTGTTGGTTTTTTAATTGCATTCTGTCATTAAGAAAACCCATTGATAATAGTTTCTAAATAAATATTTTTGAAGGACTGTTTTGGTGGAGATATTGAAGCAGACAGCTATATCTAGTTTGTCTTTGATTAACTCTGCAGAGGAATGTATCTAGAGGGGCAAAAAAAAGATACAGCAAAGTTGTTGTGTTTGCTCTTATAGTTGACTTTTAACTGACATTAAAAATTGAGTAGATCAATTTTAAATAGTAGCATATATTTAGTAAATATTTTTTCTATAAAGGGTGCTCCACAAAAAGAGATCATCTCAGTGATGAGAAATAAATGGCATGTGTAAAACATTAGCATAAATGTACCGACACAGTTGCACAATTAATTTCTCACTCCAATTTTCTAGAACTATTACTGTACTGTATTTTATGACACAGTATCATCAAGCAACATTTTTTTATTAACAGTAGCTTAGCTCACTTTTTGTCCACTTTTTTCAAAGCTAATTCTGAATGTTTATGTTAATCATATCTCCTAGAATAGATAATTTGTGGTGAGAGTAATACTACAGACTTCTGCAGAAACATTGCTGTCATGTGCATGCCTGGGTTGCAGCTGCCTGGAGTACGTGGTGCTCCTGCTGGAGGAGTGCTCAAAAAAAAATCTCTAAGCCTTTCAGCAGAAAAAATGTATGGAAATGCAGCAGTGGAGGCTTGGATATATTCATCAGCACCAATGGCCTCTGAGTGTGAATAACTGCACATTTCACTGGTAACAGATGGCAGTGGTGAGAACAGCTGTGTGAGGTGTGACCCGCTGGCTGATGTGCTCAGCCTGGTGGCAGAGCTGGGAGAGAAAGTGGAAAGGTTAAGGAGTCAGAGATAGACTAGTGGAGTTTTGCTCTGCCCTCTGTGAGACAAACAGGAACAGAAACGAGGGAAAAACACCAAGGTAAGGTCAAGGGGATCCTGTATCCTCCCCCTGCCAGGCTGAGAGCAGTCGCTTAAAGGGGAGGAGTGAATAGAGGCAAGTTCATGCTTGGGACAGCAGGAGAATCCCCTCCCTGTCCAACCCGCCCTGCCAGCTGCCTCTGTACAAGTATGAGGCTCTGGACGTGGAAAGGATGATGGCTGAGAAGTCAGTGGAGAGAGAGAGAGATCTTACTGTAAAGAAATGGGACTTCTAAAAAAGTGTGTTGTAATCTCAAAGATCCCAGACTTGAGATTCTGAATGTAACCAGCTGAAATCCAGTTCAGATCTTTTTTTGAAGTTAACAGGTTTGTCTTTGGGAAAGAATTAGGTTGTAGTAATCATTGAATATACATTATTTCTTTTAGGGGATGTATAATTTCTGATGGTAACTCTTTTCTCTTTCATTTAGTATCTCCAATCTGGGCATGTTTGGCATCAATGACTTCACTGCAGTCATAAACCCACCGCAGGCCTGCATCCTAGCTGTGGGCCGAGCAAGAACAGAGCTCAGGATTGTGGAAGATGAAGAAGGGAATGAGAAACTTGAGCAGCATCAACTCATGACAGTGACTCTTTCAAGTGACGGTCGAGTAGTAGATGATGGACTGGCTTCAAAGTTTTTGGAGACCTTGAAAGCCAACATAGAGAATCCAATGCGACTTGCCTTGTGTTAAACTCAGTGAAGATTCCTCTTTGTTTGGACAACGTAGATAACTGTTACGTACTTGGGGTTGTTCTTCTGTTTAGATGAGTAGATAGTTACTGTGAAATGGACACGTTTAAAGTATTTAATTTATTGAATTAACATGCAAAAATATTAATTTTCATGCTTTTAGTCTTTTGCAGTGACCAGGTTTTATACTGTAAGATAAAGATAAAAGACTTTAAAGTTAACATACTACATTTCTTTAAACACTTAGCGCTAATGGCACATAATGTTCACATAGAAAGGTTAATCTCCACTGTAAAGGAAAATTAAAAAAAAAAAAGTTACGAAATTTAAAAAATAATCATAGAATGCTTTGGGTTGGAAGGGACCTTTAAGGGTCATCTAGCCCGGTTCTCCCTGCTGCAATGAGCTGGGACTTCAACTAGAACCAGTTGCCCAGAGCCCCTTCCAACGTGACACTGAATGCTTCCAGGGATGGGGCACCTGCCACCTCTCTGGGCAACCTCTTTCAGTGTTTCACTGCCCTTGCTGTAAAAAAATTCTTTCTTATATCTGATTTGAATCTACCTTCCTTTAATTTAAAACCATTAGCCCTCATCTTATCAGTATAGGCCCTGCAAAAAAGTCTGTCCCCATCTTTCTTACAAGCCTCCTTTAGGTACTGAAAGGCTGCAATAAGATCTCCTCAGGCCCCTCTTCAGGCTGGCCAACCCCAGCTCTCTCAGCCTTTCTTTATAGGAAAGGTCCTCCTCCTATCCCTCTGATCATTTTTGTTGCCCAACTCTGGACACCCTCCAACAGATCCATGTTGTTCTTGTGCTGAGGGCTCCAGAGCTCGATTCAGTACTCCAGGTGGGGTCTTTCATGCGCTGAGATGAGGTGCTTTATTTAATGGGAAATACCTAGCTTGTAGAGTGAAGAAAGCAGGAACCATAATTGAGTAAAATGCTACTGTGAGTCCTGGTCACTACTGAAATAACTGAGTCACTAAATTATACTGCTGCTGTAGAAAGGTTTTCACTTTTCTAAAGACTTTTCTGGCATGTTGTGTCATCCAATTTAGATTGAAATAAGGTTTATAAGATTTTGACAGATGTTTCAATGGCTGTCTAGATAAGAGCAAAGACATTACAAACCAAAGAAGGTTTGGGTTAATTTCATTTGCATCACAGATTTAACTGTACATTATCTTCTCCTTTACTGTAAGCTACATTAAAGAAAACAAGATGACTGTGGAGGTGAATGGGGAAAACAAATGACAGGAAATTTTGAGACTAACTAAATTCATAGATTAAAAAAGTAATTTCTCAAAATATTACGTAATCTGGTGAAATCCACAGATTCATTCATATAATTACAACTCATTAAAACACATGTAAACTGTATGTGCATCTGTTTTTTCAAGCATTTTAGGCTAAATGCATAAACTAATGCCTTGCAGAGGGGTAGAGAGGAGAATAAATTTATCTGAATAAATGCATTCTCCACAAAGGATGGAATCTCAACGTCATTGACTTCAATATTTCATGGAAACAACATTTAGTGCAAATAGCATTTTGTGTTTGTAAAAAAAATCCTTAATTTGGAGATAATTACTTTTTTTTAAATTTAGAAGTTGCCTCAACTAATGTTTTCTCCAGTACGCCAAAATCTATAATTTTTTTAGGTGCTTTGTGATATATGGTTCATACAAAACCCAAGCTAATTGTGCCAGCAGTGCAGCCAGTGATGAAAAACTAGTTTTGAGGTTCCAGTATGAAAGGTCAAATTTTGCACACCAAATATTTTCTCATTAATGTTATTCTTTGTGTGCATAGAATAAAGATGTAATTAGAAAATGTTTCATCATCAGGATATATCAAATTGTAACTTGGAGGCTTAAGTCCAGTGGCCTGAAGTTTAAATTAGTGGAAATAGATTGGGGTTGGGTTTTTTTTCTTGTATGTAAATATAGAACCACATATTGTATGTGTTTGTAATGAAATAACTGCATTTACAGGACCTGGTGAGAATAAAAATTGTCAATAGAATATTGGGAGTTTGTCTTATTCTAGTTTGTGCAAGTACTTTTTTTTTTTTAAGATCTGGAGAAGTTGTTTGTTGAGCTGTTGCCATAATTAAAAAGCCAATTGCAAGACAAAACCTTTAGTTAATATTGAGTTGAGAGTTTTTGCTGAATGAGTTTGTTGCTTTGGCTTGTTCATCTAACAGTAGGAAGAGATTTTGATTGCGCAATCTAGTTTGCTGTGCAATAAAGGACATATCAATTCTGTATTTTCAGTTTCTCACTAATAAATTATATTCAAGATTGAGTACTAAAGATTAATTTGCAATTTTAAATGGTTAACCAAGAATTTTTCCAAAGTTGTTTGTCAATCCAATATTACTTTGAAGGGAAAAAACCCACCCATTTATATATTGTCATTAATAATGTACAAGAGGTTCCCATCATTTGTATAGCTAAATTTGCTCTGCCCAAGAGAATTTGCAGACTAATTTAAAATCTGGTTAAAAAACTGTTCTTCATTTTTGTACTTGGTACTCTACTGGCTGGGTGCTCCTCAGCATTTGTATATTCTGCTCTTTAGCTGGCTACAGTTAAGGGCTGCATTAATTCTGCGTACAACTGCAGTTCTGCTTGTATGTGTGCTGGTGTAGGGTAAGTCCGGTTTGCTTTTGGAGCCAATGGAGGGCGCTATTGTCCATCAGGAGGGAATGTTGTCGTGTCTCATTCATGTGGGTACTAACATCGACTATACTTTCTCTTTTCATCACAAATAGGTGAAGAAAAGGCAACTTTTTCTTCAGGTTAAATAAACTTTTACAACTTTTGAACTAGGAAAATATCAGTAAGGCTAATACAAGCTTTAATTCCAATTTTTTTTACACCTGCCACTTGCCAGCACTGTCATTTAACATAAAGATGCATTTATGTTGATTTTTCAGTCCTCAGCCTGTGAAGGAAATCTCTGGACTTCAGATGTGATAGCAGTCACATCTCCTTAATTCAGAGTAATTATACTGTTTGGCAACACCTACTGCTTCAGCAGAACTGAGACAACAAATAGGTATCCATACATATTTAAATAAAACCTTGAATATCTTCTTGAACAATGTAGGGGTTTGGAGGTGGGGACAATGGATAAAATGGCAAAGAAAGTGAACCACATAACATGTTTATGCTTACATTTGAAGCAAATTTGCCTTGAAATAAAAATTTCACAGATGAAAAATATAACTTTTCCTGTCTTATTCTTTCAGATCTTTTCTGTCAACATCCTTTTTACATATCTAAGCAAGAAATACTGTGAAGACATCTACTTTCTTGAAGAACTAAAAAAAAATATTAAGGAGTGTGCTAATATTTGCCTTTAGGATATGCTTGGGGAAAATTACTTTCTTCATATTGTCTTCCTTTGCAGAAGGCATAATTATTAAAGAATAAAGGGTAGCTCTTTTGGACTTCATGATTGTTGGCAAGAGGGACAGGGAACTGCTAGAAAGAGTCCAGCGAAGGGCAACAGAGATGATTCAAGGATTGGAGCATCTCCCTTATGAGGAGAGACTGAGAGAGCTGGGACTCTTTAGTCTGGAGAAGAGAAGGCTGAGGGGAGACCTTCTCAATGCCTACAAGTATCTCAAGGGAGGGTTGAAGGAGGAGGGAGCCAGACTCTTTTCAGTGGTTCCCAGTGAGAGGATGAGGGGCAACGGGCACAAGTTGGACCAGAAGAGGTTCCACTCAAATATGAGGAGAAACTTCTTCACGGTGAGGGTGGCAGAGCCCTGGAACAGGCTGCCCAGGGAGGGTGTGGAGTCCCCTTCCTTGGAGATTTTCAAGACCCGCCTGGATGCTCCTGAGTAACATGCTCTGACAAGCTCTAGGCAATCCTGCTTCAGCAGGGGAGTTGGACTGGATGATCTCTATGGTCCCTTCCAACTCTAAAAATTGAGTGAAATTCAGTGAAAAGTGTGCTTTTGTCTTTTGCTGTATTTTGTAAATTACCAAAAATTTTTACCAAAATTTTTTTTCCAATAAACTGTATTAATCAGCCTATTAATCTCTGCACATAGATCTGTTCATTGACTCATTCTTCAGTACTGAATCATCATTCAGCCCTGAGGTACTCCTCACTGGTGGCTTTGCTGGCTGTAAGCTTTGGTGGTGACACTGTTGTCAATCATTTCAGGTAATGCCAGACTTGTTTTAAAGGGAAAACTGAAATACAGAAAGGCCAGCAGAGGGCAGACTGAGCAGCCTGGTTTTCTGACATTCTGTCTGTCTTTTAAGTGTAAATATAGTCACTGAACTATTTTAATATGTAGATATTCTGCATACTAATTGTATGTAATACTACTACACGTAGATAGTATTTCAAACTATAGCTTGATGGTTTGGTGTTTGGATTTGAAGTTGTTCATGTCAGATGCTTTCTGAAACAAAAAGGAATGGTAAACACTAACTTGCCTTGATTTGTTGGAATTGGAATCAGATGGAAGCCTTGGTCAGTGTATGACACTTCTGCAGAACTGGATCATAGAATATCTCAAGTTGGAAGGGACCCATAAGGATCATCAACTTCAACTCCCTGGTCCTCGCAGGACTATCTAAAACCAAACCGTGTGACTAAGAGCTTCATCCAGATGCTCCTTGAACTCTGACAGTCTTGGTGCTCTGAACACTTCCTTGGGGAGCCTGTTCCAGTGACTGACCACTCAGTGAAGAACCTTTTCCTTATGTCAAATCTGAACTTCCCCTGATGCAGCTTCATTCCATATCTCATGTCCTGTTGCTGTTCACCAGAGAGAGGAGATCAGCACCTCCCCTCGGCTGCCCTCCTTGAGGAGGATGTAGGCTGCCCTGAGGTCACCTCTCAGCTGTCTCTAAGCTGAACAAACCAGGTGACCACAGTTGGTCCTTATAAGTCTTACCCTCAAGACCTTTCCTCTGGACACACTCCAGGACTTTAATGGCAATTGAGGTGCATAAGTTCTAAACTTGCAACCTCTTGTAATTTCTTTCTTTGTAATCATACCTGAGTAAAGCAGGAGGAAGTTCATGGTAGCCTGCTGGAGATTTGTACAAACATGCTAATCAGTAGTGTTCCAAGAAACACAGAAACTTGGGATTTGGGTGAAGCCCCACGTATTGATAAAACTGAGATGCAATTTTTTCCCAGAGCTTTGGCTGGCTACTTTGCATAGTTACTTTACAAAATCTGCCTCACTTGTATCAGTGAAAAGCCATCACTGTTTGCTTGATTTCAGTTTGCACTCCTGCCCTTTGACGTCATTTTGCTTTGTCTTGTAGGTATCACAGTGGGTAATTATTCAGATACAATAGCCATATTGTTCTTCCCTCTCTCCACAGTATTTGTCTTACCGAGCAAGTTAAATATTTGTGCCTTATGAGACATAACTAGCTGGAAAATGACAGACTTTTCTGTTTGTTCATTACCTGTACTAAGGAAAATGATTCATGCTGTGTCAATGAATGCCACTATTTATCTCCTTAAAGATTAGAGATCAAAAGGAGATTCTCTTTCATACCTCAAAAGTTCCTCTCACGTGGCCCATACCTAGATAGGAAGGAAGGGCAGCTATGAACATTTTGATTTCTGCTCACCGTTGCATGAAGTGTACCCCGAGCGGTTAGTGCAGCACATGTTCTCCCGCAGTTTGATGGTCTTTGCACTACCAGCCCTACAGCACGCTGCGCCTTGCGCTTCGCAGGGATACAAGCCATTGAACCTTGTAGGATACTCTCTGTTCACCTAGTCATCAACCAGCTCCTGTTTCAGCTGCATATCTTAAGAAAATATGTATAACTATGTTAATTTTGCAACCTAGGTATGCTTTTAATTTCTTCCCTGCCAAATAAATTATAAGCTTAAATACCCACAGAGGCTTTGCAGCTGGTTATACTGGCTGTGTCATGTCCCAGCCTCCATTAGCAGCACGCACTGCATTCCTCCAGGTTCCAGCAGGCAGCATCGTGCTGTTTCCTCTTCCTTGTACGAAAAATAGGAACTATTATGGATCCCTTGTTTGATCGAGAAAGAAATTCTTCTTACACTCTTCTGAAGTGTGAGAATTCTGTCTTATAATGTAAATTTCAACCAAATATTTCGAGTGCAATACATTGCTTACTCGCAAGGACTCTAGAGCACCTTTACTATTCACTTTATAGCACAAGCATTACACAGATTCAAATGAAAATAACTTTCACACTTTTTTTCCCCCTAAGAGTCTTTAGACAGACAAGTTATGTACAGAATTATTTTGAAGTTAATTCACAAATGAACTGGTTATGCCTACAGAAATTTCTCAGATGTTAAAATATCTTGCATTTCCCTGTTGACAACTCTAAAAGAGTTACGGAATTTTCAGGCAGGTTAGAAGTCCTTCATCTGTCCCATTCCTATTTCGAACCTAGTCTAGCTATCATAGACTTGAAATGTTTTACTCAAGCTATTAACAAGGGCTAATGGTTCTGAGTGACTCCCAGCCTGGAGCAGAAGAGGCATTTTGTACTAAATTATCCTAAACAATGCTCTAAGGCACCTTCTTGACTGCTTTTATGTGTGCCTGACATGGTTCAACCACTGACAGCTGCAGAGGAAAGCCACAAACAGAGGGTCTAGGCCCTCTTACAGAAATGGGTAATACTAATAAAGGAGAAGAAATATGATTATTGGCTCATTTTCACAAAATGTTGTTAATAATTCCATTCCAACGTCTTTAGCCCCAATACAGCTGGTTTCACTGACTCTGTCAAAGGAGAGGGTTGCAGTTTCACTACAGCAGAACTGCTGCTGTGTTAATACTTTTGTTTTCAAACAAAACATCTTTTCCCTACTGTGTGTTGACATAATGACTGTGTTAATCATTACTTTGTGACACCCTTAGCTGTATTGTTTATTTTGGAAGGCAATCTGTATTGGGCAGGGTAGGAAAGATGAAAGAAAGTAAAAAGAAACCAGTCTTTTTCACCTGTACTTGACATCTTTCTTTGTGTAGATTGATAATCAATAAAATCGTTATAAAGTAATGCCTGGGGTTTTTTTTAAGCTATAAAGCGTAAGCAGATAATCTCTGTTTATGTAACTGCTGCAAGCAAATTCTGAGGAAATAATATTTCAAAACTTTAATATTCCATAAAAAAATTTAAGAAAGGGAATTTTACTTCTTGGCCCTCCTTTTAAAGTACATGTGCATTCTTTGCACGTGTGTCTGTGCACATGTGTATCTGTATGTGCTGATATGGACAGGCAAAGAGGGCCAGCTGCTATTTCAGCCACACTTGTTAAAGGCTTTC